AGGACGTGTGATGGTAAGATAAACTAGACATCCAACAATAGTGCGATATAAAGTGGGATCAATCAATGGGACACCATCATAGGATGAATATCGAGCATTGGACTCAAGAGGAGTATCAGCAGATTTATTATCAGCAAGACGAGCACGCTCAATGACATCCATAGTATACTTAGACTGAGAGATAAGATAACCTCTAGGAGAAGAAGCAACTTCAATCCCCAAAAAATAAGACAGTGTGTCCAAGTCCTTCATTTCAAAACGACAAGGCAATTCTGATTTCAAACTTGCAATTCCATCAATATCATCACCAGTAATAATCATATCGTCAACATATAGCAATAATAGAATGCGACCAGCTGAAGTGCATCTAAAGAATAAAGCGGAGTCATGATGACTGGATGTAAAACCAAGAGAGCTAACAACAGTGGAAAATTTTTCAAACCAGGCACGAGGTGCTTGTTTGAGGCCATAAAGTGCCTTCTTGAGTTTGCAAACAAATCCAGGAGTGTGAGAAAGACCAGGAGGAGGAACCATATAAACCTCCTCTTGAAGATTTCCATTTAAAAAGGCATTTTTAACATCCAATTGAGAAAGACTCCACCGACGAACAGATGCAACTGCAATAAGTGTACGAACAGTGGTCATCTTGGCAACAGGAGCAAAAGTCTCCTCATAATCCAAACCATACTGTTGATTAAAACCTTTAGCAACCAATCTAGCCTTGTAGCGTTCAATCGAACCATCAGATTTGGTTTTAATCTTATAAACCCAACGACAATCGATAGTATGTTTACCTGAAGGCAATTCAACCAAGTCCCAAGTGTCTGTCTGATGTAGAGCAAAAAGTTCATCAGCCATAGCTTGTTGCCAAAGAGGATCCAAAATAGCTTCTTTATAGGAAGATAGTTCAACTAACTTATGAATGGATGTTAGAAGATAGCAAAAGGACTCAGAATAACAAGAATAATCAAAATCAGGTAACTGAGTGGACTTACGAATACGTTGAGGATAACGAGGAAGAGATGAAGCAGGAGCTGGATCAACAATCTCAGGCGGTGCTTGGAAAGCCATAGAAGGAGAAGGGGTAGCATGATCTGAAGCATGTGTACCTGCAGGACATGAAGAATCAATAGTACATGGCGTATGGGAAGGTGAATTATTTATATCATCAGAGAATGGATCAATATAAATGAGGTCAGTTTTGGTCACGTTATGAGTATTATCAGAAATGGAGAAGAATGGAATGTGCACAAGAAACACGACATGACGAGAGACATATAATTTATTATTAATGGGATCGAAACAACGATAACCCTTTTGCCCTTGCCCATAACCCAAGAAAACACAAATAGCAGACCGAGATGTCAACTTATTACGTTCAACTTCAGGACGAAGAACAAAGCAAGTACAACCAAAGACTCTCAATGAGGAGTAATCCGGAGGATGCCCATACAATGTTTCAAAAGGTGATAAACCTGAATTGTGGGAAGATGGAATCTTATTAATTAAAGAAATAGCAGTAAGAGCTGCTTCTTCCCAAAACTCACTGGGAACTTTGGCAGATAAAAGAAGTGAACGAGCAGTTTCCACAATGTACATATGCTTTCGTTCAGCAATACCATTTTGTTGTGGGATATTAGTACAAGAGGTTTGATGAATTGTACCGTCAAGAGCAAGCAATTTAGAGAATTCGAATGAAGTATACTCTCCACCCAAGTCACATCTAAAGCATTTGATTACAGTTGAATGTTGAGTTTTAATAAGTGCTCTAAATGATCGATAAATAGAAAGAAAGTCAGATCGTCGCTTCATAAGATAAACCCAACAATAACGACTATAATCATCAATAAAGGACACATAATATCGAGACCCTCCTTTTGTAGTAACTGGAGCAGGTCCCCACACATCAGAGTGAACAAGATCAAATGGTGCAACAGAATGAGAAATACTTCGAGGAAAAGGTAAAGCAAAAAATTTTGCTAATTTGCAACCACTACAATCAGAAATATCATGAGTTTATATATTTCCCAATTGACCCTTAGAAACTAAAAATTTTAAACGATTAGCGAAAAAATGTCCAAGACGAGAATGCCACAAATAAAAACTAGAAGACGATAAATTCAAAGAAAAAGATGACAAATCAACACCAGAGGCTGCAACGTGTGATGATCTTAGATTGTCCAGAACATATAACCCACCTTATCTACGGCCTATCCCAATCAGCTTCTGAGATTGAGGATCCTGCACATGACAACCAGTAGAAGAAAACTGAACTAAGTATCCAGAATCACACAATTGACCAATAGAGATAAGATTCAAAGTAAGAGTTGGAACACAATAGACATCTGACAGTGACAAATTATATGTATTAACTGAACCAACACCTGCTAAAGGTAATGGTGTACCATCAGCAGTCATAACAGACATAGATGAGTTGGAAGGACGCAAGTCATTAAAGAGTTTTGAATTAGACGACATGTGTTTGGAAGCACCAGAGTCAAAGATCTATGAGGAAGAAATACCTGAGTGATTCTGTGATAACAAACCTATATGAGTGGAGGCTGACATATTATGCGGTTGTGTGGCTAAGAATTTCTGAAACTGCTTTGCTAAGTCCGTCAACATGGGATTGGATGAAGGTGGTGCTCCAAGTATGGATGAATCATTAGGTGGCATGGTGGCAGCTATGTTAGCATTGGGACGATAAGATCGCTGCTGTGATTGAGATTGCTGCTTTTTCAATAGCTTTGGACATTGAGACTTCCAATGTCCTTTTTGTTTACAAAAGTTACACTCGTCAGTAACAAACTACCTTTTGGAATAACCCAGAAAAAACGACTCACGCGCCACCACCGCCTCTGCGCGTGGTCCTCACGCGCCACCGCCACGCGCCGCCAAACACCGACACGCGCCTGACCGGATGTTTCGTCTCAACCTGCTGAACAAGGATCTGGTCTCTGTTTTCTTAATGGATCTCCAATTTAGTCGGAATCTTGATTTTAAGATGCGGTCGAATAGGTTTTTCATACAAACTTTCTTTGCCTGATTTCTATCTTGATTTCAGCACGACCCAAATAGAAATTTCACAAATTTCACTCAATTATAGGCTCTGATACCATGATAACAATATAATGAATCTCAAACCAATATGTTGAATCAATTCAAAAAGAAGAAAAGAGAAGAGAAAGAGAAGAAGAATAAAGAGGGAACCAAAATCTATTAAGCCATCAAAATTGGGTTTTCAAAGAAAGTAAAAAAACAGGTTTTATACTACTACAAGGAAACCTAAAAATAATAGGAAACTTACAATAATAGGAAATTACATATTATGCTAAAATAACTAAATATAACACACGTTTTCAGTTGACACACAAAAGTTCAGCCCAAATCGAATAGTCCAAGGAATGAAGCCCAATTGGAGGATCCCCAAATCAGATAGCCCAAAGAACGGTCCAATCAGGCAATGCAGGATAAAGGCCCAAATAGGGAAGCCCATGAACGCGATAATACCATCGTCCAAGGTTACAAGTCGCCCAAGATTTGAGCGAATGGATTGCCATGCAGTCGCCCAGAACTGTGACCCTGTTCTCGCCCAAACCTTCGAGTCGTCCAAGATCTTAGCAAACATAAGATGTTATGGTTACCCAAATGTGCGGTTAATGAAGCAGTTATTGAGTAACCCTATCACATTCCACGATTCAAGGAATTCAATTGAAGACGGTTGAACGACAAAAAGTAATGGCAGCAGTTAGAGAAGGCAATTCCATGACAAGTTGGTCACTATGAAGAAAGTGGGCAGTTATAGAGCGATCAAACAGTTTTTAAGCGGTTGATCACGAAGAAATCATCCAAGGAGTATAAAAGGAAGAAAAGACATGGAGCAAATGACTCCGAATCAAACACTCTCAAACAGAGAATATGTAACTTTACATTTCTTAGTTTAAATTTAAACACTTCTTTTCAGTAACTTGTGTGCTTGCGCCTTTGGAGGCATTCTGTTTTATTTTCCAATTGTAAGGTCATCGCCAATAAAAACACCCCTTTTTGGGATTTTGTTTCAAGAGGTTTGTCCTTTACACAATCGACTGATCCCTTTTTAATTGTTAGCGACTAACTCGCGCGAAACAGTATCATTATCAAGATAATGATATGTCATTGACCATATTTTTTCCCTTACAATCACCATTGGCATTTCTGGCTAATGGTTAAAAATGATTACAGAAAAAGTTTTCAGGTATATAGAAAATGACTTATCACTTATAATCTAGAAAAAAGATTCAGTGGGTGAAGAGAAAATATGGGACAAGGCAGCAAGAGAAGGCGTGATGTTAAAACATAAGACAGCACAAGTAAGAAAATTAAAAGTAAATTTGAATGTAAAACAAAAAGTGGGATCCAGCTCCAGGCTCCCAAGTGTCCTTGTGCTCGGTCCCTCTGAATGTCTTGTTTCATCATGGACTCCACTTACTTGCAAATTCTAACAAATCCCATTGTTTTTTCTCTTTCTTGTTTTTGCTTTATCGTACGAGATTTAGGCCCTGCTGGCTTAATACTTTAAAAATGAGCAGAGAAGTTGATCCAGAGAAAAAGTAAAAGGTTTGTGATGTCATGAATCCACAGGTCTATATTTTCAAATTTTGGTTGATAAGTGGACTTATGCTCAATTTATTTTTCTATTATATTTTCATTTTTAATCAAGACATGGTCTCTGATTCAAAAGTGACGAAAGCTGCTCAGACAGTGAACTGAAAATTCACATATCACAAATTCACAGTAAGATTACAGAACAGTGGATATGAGTTTGAGATATTCTCACTGAAAGCAAACCTTTTTTTTTCCTTTGTTATATCCTTTTCAGAACTGAGAAACAAAACATTTGGCCAATTTTTAATGAAGAAATTTCTTCGGAATAATCTAAAATTACTCATTTGTCGGAAAATTTATCCATAATAGATTAAGAACCTTTATATCAGGTTTAACATAATGTATGCAGTTATGCATCCAAGTTCAAAACCTGTGCACGGGTTAATTCAGTTTCTCTAAAAGTTACTTCAGCAGACATTAGTCCCTACAATAAAGTACAATGCCAAAACTTGAACCCCACTTGGGATCAGAGAAGAGTCGAGAAAAAAAATGAATGCTCAATTGTACAATTGCATTGATGACTTGAGACTGCATTATTTGTAACTGAATAGTGAAATCCTTTCATCTGGCACTGCTGGACTTGCTCTATCAGTAGCTTAAAGCCACTTTTAAGTACATTTTGATCAACAGAAAATCACAATATAAACATTAGTCTAATTATAAGAAAGCATAAGGAATCCACTAAACAGAAAACAATATGTGATGCAATGCTAGAAAAACCCAAAAAGAAGTAAGAATAATTGGTTTAGGGCATTGAAATGGAGATTCAGAATTCTTCAGTGGCCTTATAGAAGATGCAGTTTTATTACTTCCACAAACATCAATTCCAACATTGACACCAAATGCTTCTGATGGACTCAAACAGAGCCCTGGATTGCTACTAAGATCTAAATTTCTGCCAAGCCTTTTCAAGAAACTTGAATTGAAAGGAACAACACCACCCAGAAAGTTTCTGCTCAAGTTCAGATGATATATGTGAGACAGATTGCCAAACGCAGTAGAAATTTTTCCAGTTAATCGGTTGTTTTGCAACGAAAGGGCACTTAGATTCGTTAGCTGTGAGTAAATTGGAGGGATTGTGCCAGAGTATCCCGAATTAGCAAGCCTGAGTTCTTGCAATTTTCTGAGATGACCAAATTCCAGGGGCAATGGTATGAACATTGGATTGTCATCCATTATGAAGTACTGCAGATTTTGAAGCCCCGTCAGGCCCCTAGGAAACCTCCCGTGTAATTTGTTGTTACTTAATGCCAAAAAAATTAAGGAATTCAGCAGCTGAAAGCTGTCCGGAATGCTTCCAGTGAGTGAATTAGAGCTAAAATCCAGCTTTTGAAGAACCAAAAGCTTCAAATCCAGGCCTAAAAGGCTCCTGAGATTGCTAATTTGGACCGGGATCGTGCCTGTGAGCCTGTTATAACTCAAATCAAGATGTAAAAGAGAATTCAAACTGAAAAGTTCAACCGGGATTAGCCCAGTTAGCATGTTTTGTGACAATGTGAGGATTTGAAGAGATTTAAGAGAAGAAATTTGAGGAGGGATTGAGCCAATAAGTGCCGAATTTTCTCTCAAACTAAGCTGCTGTAAAGAAGAAATAGAAATCTTGTTCTTCGGAAAAGAAATTGCCGTCTGTGTATGAGCGAAACACTGGAAAATGAAAATTGATTCAAGATTTGGGAGTTCAAAGATTTCTGAAGGGAATGTGGCAGTGTTCTTGCAAGTTGGATTTGGTGGGGTTCCAAAATCAAGCCTGGTAACATGAAAATGGTTATCAATTCCTGTTTTGCACTCAATTCCTAGCCAAGAAGAGCCTGGATTACATGGGTTTGGGTGTGAACTTCTCCAGTTTTTGTCAGATGACACAGACTTCATAATCTTGAACAAGGTTTCTAGTTCGAGTGGATTCATGTCACTAGGAAACAGATTCTTGTCGGGATGGTTTTCGCTTGCATTTCGATTTGTTGAGACAGAAGAGATTATTAAAAGAAAAGAAATGACCAGGGGAAGAGAGAAGAATGAGAATGAACGGCACATTTTGTGTTGAGGTCTGCGAACAAGTAAAGAAGAGTGACTAATTGTGCAGCTTTAGAATTGGTTCACGCCTGTCCGAGAGAGAAATGAGTTGTGCAAAGATGTGATTTATCTGATGTCTGGGGTCATGATTTTGAGTGAGAAATTGAAGCCAAGGTAGGGTCACAAATATACAAATTTCAGGTGGTGGGTTGGGGGAGAGGAGTAGGTTTCTTTATCAGATTTGATGGCTATGACAACACGAAAGTAGCTTCAAGTTTCATCACTTTGGAAATAATGACTTGTGGGTTCAAAATTTTCTTTTACAGCCTCAATTGCACGCTCAAGTTCCCTAACTAAAGAAGATTTTTGTCTCCCCTTTTCTTCTTTATTATTATTAATTTTTTAATCGGAGTTTCATTTTAGTATATGAACTTGAGAGAAAAAATACATTTTCACGAATGATTTCTATATAAAAAGACACTAAATAACCCAAAGACAAAGGTTGATAGTCAAAAAAATGACAACCTAAACATAAACATTTCGTTACTTAAAAAAATAAATAAATTACAAACATGTACAGAGAGAACTCATTTTACCAAACTAAGAAATAAATTTAACAAGGAAGAAAAAAAATAAATCGAAACATTTATAACTTTTAATAAATAATTAAGCAGAAAAATAGTTTGTTACCAGAAATTATTTCATGAAATATTTTAAAAGTTGGATGAAGTTGCTATTCATATAGTGAAACAGCATAATGCATTTCTAAAAATGTTGACCAGATAAAGATCTTATACGCATTTCTTCACACAAGCCAGGAACTTAATTTAAAGCCAGCATTTAATACCCAGAACAACTTATTCGCTGTTCGGACCTCTTTTAAAAGCTCATTTTTCCTCAAACTCATCTTCAACCACATATTCATAGAATCCATAACTTTTGTCAACTTTTCAATCATATATTTCATCAACTTTTATCAAAATCTATAAAAAAAATCTTATTTTTAGCTAAGCCAAACAGGGGCTTATAAGCACCCCATGTGTCATCAGCAATCCAAATGTGTTTACAAGAATTGGAGAAAGGGAAAGTAATAAATTAATTATTGACAACATTCGAAATATTCACAGCAAATGAAAATCTGACAACATTGTCATACATCAAAATAAATACGAATACAATTAAGTGGTTGTTCATCACTTCATCGTAAACAATGTCATTCCTTAAGTTGACTTTTACAACATAATCTAAATTTTTAAGTCCATACAAGGGAAATTCACAAGAGTTCCAAGATTCAGGGTTAATTTGTTTACCGTGTCATAAACCAACTCTTCTTCAACCACTTTCGGTGACCACATTGTACTTCTGTAGTAAAAACAGAATGGCGGTTCAAGTTTGGCGATGCATTACGAAAACATTTGAAGAAAGTTATTGGCATATGCCATTGGCTTGACATCAGGGTGTGGCTGCAGTTCATCAATAAACTTCAGTGTCAAAATGACAATTGAAATCCAAATCTCGACCACCAGAAAAATAGGGAGGGATATGAAGGGGACACATGCCAATGCTGATACACTAACCATTGCTGTAAAAGTAACGATATTTGGCTTCAGATCAAGGGCTTCAAAACGAATAAATGCACCCTTATTTCCCATCTGCACTGAGGAAAGAAGATTTACTGTTAGCCATAAAGTTTTAAAATTCAACAATACGCTGCTCATTGGTTAATTAATTATGTAGATTTAGATCAATGAACATTGCTCTATTTACTGTTTAGCATTAAGATTCGCAAAGAAAATGTTGGGCATGATTGGTAAGTGATGCCCAAATCCCCTAGGCTATGATGAAAAACCGAGGCCCGTTTTAACTTCATAGGCTATAAGCCCAGGATTGAAGAATTAAATCCACACCACAATTGAAGTAGCCCAATTATGTTGGGTATTTAGAGGTAATCAACCCATTGGGTTAGATACCCAATACCCAACTTGGAGGGAATTTGAAATTCACATGAAAAGATGGATAAATATTATCGTTATCTTTATCAAACCAATTTTATCTCATTTTGTTGGATGAGTTCTATCTTTCAGTTTGGATATAATCTTGCAGTTTTTATTCAATCTAATCTTGAAGACTCCTGTGAAATTCATCCACTCCTATAAGCCTATAAATAGGAGACTCTTCCCTTCCATTAAACACACCAAAAACGAGAGCCAAAACCAAGAGGAAGAAAAACTTCCCTGCTTAGTGCAAACCAATCTTCTCTTGACTTTTCTTTGTGAATCTATCTGTGTGATTGATAATGGCCTTCAAATTGAAAATACCTTTGTGGTGTGGATCAAGTTTCTGAGCCGAATCATAAAGGGGAAAACCGTTCCTTTTATTTTCAGATTTTGGTCTTGATTTTCTTCAATTTACTTTGCAAATCCTTACACTAATCAATTGTTTTGGTTAATTTATAGGTGGATTTGCTTCTCAGAAAATTCAAGAGTTTATGGATAATGATTCTTTCCCAGCATTCCAGTGAATGGCAAGAGATGAAGGTCCTCACAATATACACTTGTACATTACACAATTGAAAAACTAAGCAATTAGCTTATATGTTAGATATCAAGTGGAGTGTGGGCATCCTGTTCCTCCAAGTTCATAAACAGACAGCGAGCGCTGGATATTATTTACTTTGGCATTTAATTCTTACAAGAAACATGGGGGCACCGTGCAGAAGGTTTAGTTTCGACATATGCAGGACCACACTCGACATCTTCAGATTTGATGCAATTTGACTTTATATCACCATTTAAGTTTTCCTCTCATTTGTGTCTCTTCCCGGAAAATTAAATGGGGGGAGGAAATTAGCACAGGTATTACTGCCTCTTAAAAAATTGTTCAAGGGAAAACTGCTCTTTGTTAAGACAAACAAGGAATGATCGAAAAGCTTAATGAATTGATAATATTACAACTGCCAACATTTATTGAGCACAGTTGAGTTCCAAAATTGAAAATATAATTCGACGACACTGGCATCAAAGATACTAGACAGCCCAAGTATAAGACGAAAAAGTTTTGATCAATGAAATTTACATTTACCGATCCAAAAAAGAAAAAAGAAAGTGATAATCATATTACCTGATCACAGTAGTTTGGAGCAGAAAAGACTGTAATAAGTTTACCATCATGCTCAATCTCATAACCTTCATCTTTCACTTCATGTGACCGCACTACTAAATCTGTTAATAAGATCATGTTGCTAAACCACTTATGTTTTGAATATGAAAAACCCGAGACATTTTAAAACTGCAAGTAAAATATGAGGCTGCAATTCATGTAAGGAATTGAGAAAATTACCTAGCTTGTTGCAAAAATCTTTTAGTTACATCTGCACCAAATGAAAGACCAACACCACGTTTGCTGGGTCCCCTCCCAAGTTGAGGTTGTGGATCACTCCAGAGCAATTCACACATCAACCTTGTTGGCATAAAAAAAAATAAAAAAAATAAAAAAAAGATCAAAGGAAATGGCCAGAAATAAAAATGGAATCCATTCAGGCAGAACAATCTCCTTTACTGCGGTGATCCCAGTATATCCACCATCTTAGCTTATTCCATGAATGGTTTAACAATTGAAAACTCCTACACCTACTGCTCTCCCCCTACAAACTCTCCCCCTTGTACATAGGAAACAAGAAAATGGCACATTAGAAGAATTTCTTGCATGAGACACATGACTTGAGATTCTAGTACATCCCAATACCCTTAACATGTCAAAGTTTAGCATACGAATTAAACAGGCATAAAACTGAACTGACACGACCATTGAAGTAGTGACAAATTCCTAGTAATGTTGTCTTAATTTTTATACTAGTTAGCATGTTTCTGACTAAATGAAAAGAGACAGTAATGCTTCTGGATCCAGACACACGACCCATAAGGTTCTATCTATCCAGTTGCTTTCCCTTTTTCCACTATGAGAACCCAGGGCTTAAAACACCAGATATTAAAGCCCAAGAATTGGGTATTATTACCTTAAGAAGTACTGACATTCAATTCAATCAACAAGAATATTGAAAGTATCATTCTTTGACTGCTAAAAGAACAAAGAGGGCTTGAATAGCATCTTTTTCACATACTTTGACAAAATGAGAAACAGTGGTAATGTTACATGCTGCATTCATAAATCATATTTGTTCCTGGGAAAAGGTAAAACATCCTTGCAACAATTTTTTATAGAATAATAAGATGATATTTCTTATAACTGGATTATTTACAGATAAAAACCTTCTAGAATAATAAGGCATCAGTAGCCGGAAAGGAAAAATGAACGTACAAAATAAATAACTGAGTTGAAGCTTACCCTCTTCAGGAGGCTCACAGAACCGATCAATTTTTCTTATGTCAGAGAGCTTCACACCATCAACACTGAAAAGGCCTCCATGAACCACAAAAACTTTCTCGTTTATAACATGAGCCAAAGGTAAACAACAGAACACTTCCGCAAAGAGTTCCACAAACATATCACTTAATTTGGACTTGACCTCACCCTCAAAACCATATATTTTATTCATGCTCTTGCTTTCATGATTTCCTCGACCAAGGTATATAGCTGAAAGTTCAAAGAAGTTGATAAAAAGCAGTGCTTCATTCTGAGAAAGGCTACAAGGCTAGATCCCTTATGCAGATGGAAAACATAAATGTATAGTACAACCAACGAATAGAACTTACAACTCAATAGATACATATGCAATGAATTTAGACATGGTTTAGACAAGTGGAAAAAATGACAAAGATGCTAATACCTAGAAATTTCACCATTTCATGCCATTTTTTAAATGAAAATGCTAGTGAACACTGTCAAACTGCCATTTAACTCAAATATGACCCAGTATAACACATTAAAAGAACTAATGTGAAATTTGATTTGTAGAGATCAAAACAAAATATAATTGGCAACCTAATTACTGAGTTTGAACGCTATACTTTCATGTTTCTTGTCAATTGAGAGGGACATAAATTTACAGATGTCTACCTACAATAAGCTCTAATGTTTTACTCCGTGTATAATCATTAAAATGAAGCCACCAGAAGTACACATGCGAAGAATATCAAAGCCAAAAGAAAAGGAGGGATGACCTGATGGAGACATGACCCGAACGTTAGAGATTAACCACTAACATTCAGGTAGTTTATCCATGTGGAATCTCTTGGCGGGTCTCCAATGTTTTATTCTATAACAAAACATCCACGTGTTCATTTAAGTGTCACCACACTTTAGCTTATGAGATCAGCTACTTACTTTACAAGTAGAAAATGTCACACGTGATGGTCTATTTTCAATAACAATATCCGTATCTCGTTATTACTTACGACCACGAATTATTCAAGATCCAATCCTACGTAATTTGTATCTCACAATTACAACTCCTTATGATTAACAAATCACTTAAACTTGAATATTCAGACTCTATTATTTAATATTGTTTATCAGAAAATTAATTTAAATAAATAATAGATCTTGCCAAAATTTAAATACATTAAACATATTAAAAGTATTTACAACCTAAATCGATTGGATTTAGGGCATAACACTTACAAACTCCCACTTGCACTAGATCCAATAACTCATGTATCTAATACCATAATCGTCCACATGACGATCATGTTTATGATGTGACAACGACTTTGTCAATGGATCTGTAATATTGTCATCTGTGGGAACTCGCTCTATCTTTACGTCATTTCTTTGTATAATCTCCCTGATGAGATGATATCGCCTTAGCAATGTTTGGATCGTTGATGAGATCTCGGTTCCTTCGCTTGTGCGATGGCTCCATTTTTATCACAATACAAAGGTATGGGATCAACAATGCTAGGAATGACTCCCAGTTCATTAATGAACTTCTTGATCTAGACAACTTCCTTCGCTGCTTCAGAAGCAGCAATGTACTTGGCTTCTGTTGTTGAATCAGCGGTTGTCTCCTGTTTGGAACTTTTCCAACTAACCGCTCCATTGTTTAGAGTAAACATATATCCTGATTGAGACTTGCTATCATCTTTGTCAGATTGAAAGCTGACATCAGTATACTTATGAATCTTTAGTTCATTTCCTCCATAGATCAAAAACACATCTTTAGTCCTTCTCAAGTACTTAAGAATACTCTTAACCGCTATCCAGTGTTTCTCACCAAGGTTTGCTTGAAATCTGCTCGTAACACTTAGAGCATATGAAACATCTGGTCTCGTACATAGCATCGCATACATGATAGATCCTATCGTCGAAGCATAAGGAATCTTATCCATGCGATTCCTTTCATCATGTATTTTAGGACACATATCTTTTGAGGGGTAAATCCCATGTGACATGGGACATAAATCTCTCTTGGACTCTTCCATATTAAATCTTCTCAAGATTTTATCTATGTATGAAGATTGTGATAAGCCTAATATTTTTTTAGATCTATCTCTATAAATCTTAATTCCCAAGATATAAGTTGCTTTTCTAATATCTTTCATGGAGAAATTCTTTGACAACCATAATTTTACCGATTGAAGCATTAGGATTTCGTTTCCCATTAATAATATGTCATCGACATATAATATTAGGAATACGACCGCACTCCCACTTGTCTTCTTGTAAACACACGGTTCATCTTCATTTTTGATAAAATCAAAACTTTTGATTGTCTCATCAAAAAAGATTCCAACTCCTCAAGGCTTGCTTTAATCTATAAATGGATCGATTTAGTTTACATACTTTGTTGGCTTCTTTGAATTCAAAACCTTCATGCTGTGTCATGTACACCTCCTCTTGTAAATTTCCATTAAGGAAAGCAGTTTTGACATTCATTTGCCATATCTCATAATCATGGTATGCAGCTATTGCAATCAAAATTCGAATAGACTTTAGCATGGCTACAGGCGAAAAGGTTTCGTCAAAGTCAACGCCTTGTCTTTGTGTGTAACCTTTCGCTACTAGCCTTACTTTGTATGTATGGACATTTCCATCCACATTGACCTTTTTCTTGTAAACCCATTTACAACCTATCGATTTTATCCCACATGGAAGGTCGACCAAGGTACAAACCTTGTTCTCATACATCGAGTCCATTTCCGATTCTATGGCCTCTTGTCATCTCTTCAAGTCAACACTTGACTTCGCTTCTGTGTAATTTGTAGGTTTATCATCCTTGACTAATAATACTTGATTAGTAATCGTGAATTCATACCTTCTGGGAGGTCGAATGATCCTACTTGATTTATGCTGAGCTGTAGTGTCCTCAGCAGTCTCTACATTTTGATCAAGAGTCTGTCCGTCAATAGGTGTGGGATTGGACTCAAGTTCATCTAATTGGTCAACAATATCTGTGGATTCTTGAACTTCTTGAACTTCTATTTTGCTCCCACTACCCTCTCCTAGAATAAACTCTTTCTCTAGGAATATGACATGTCTTGAGATAAACACCTTCTTCTCAACGGGATTATAAAATTGATATCCAATTGTCTCTTTTGGATATCCCACAAATACGCATTTATCAAATTTAGCCTCAGGCTTATCTGATTCATTTCGCTTTACATAAGTGTCACAACCTCAAACTTTCATGTGAGATAAATTTGGTCTTTTTCCTCTCCATAGCTCGTATGGAGTTTTGTCGATCGATTTAGATGGGACACGATTAAATGTGTAGCACGCAGCAATTAGTACATGACCCCATAATGATTTTGGGATGTTTGCATGGCTCATCATTGATCGCACCATGTCTAACAAAGTGCGATTCCTCCGTTCAGATACACCATTATGTTATGGTGTATATGGCGGAGCCCATTGCGAGAGAATCTCTTTCTCTTTTAGATAATCTAAAAATTTTCATTTTAAATATTCTCCACATCGATCTGATCTCAGCGTAAGAATATTTTTACTAGTCTGTTTCTCTACTTCAAGTTTGAATTCCTTGAACTTTTCAAGTGCTTCATACTTGAATTTCATCAGATACACATAACCATATCTAGAATGATCATCAGTGAATGTGATGAAGTAAAAGAAACCACCTTTGACGGTGAATGACATGGGTCCACATACATCAGTATGTATTAGTCCCAGCAGTTCTGTGGTTCTTTCTCCTTTTCCACTAAAAGGGAACTTGGTAACAGGCACGACTCACATTTGTCAAATGATTCAAAATCAGTTGACCCCAAGCATCCATCTTTATGTAACTTGGAAATGTATTTGTCGTTGATATGACCCAGTCTGCAATGTCAGGGGTATGTATTATTTAGATTATCACTTTTATATCTTTTACTTTCTATACTTATAATAGATGACTCAGTATCAAGAATATAAATTCCATTTTGCAACACACTACAACCATAAAAGATCTTATCTTTATAAAACAAACAACGATTGTTCTTAACATTAATTGAAAAATCATTCATATCCAAACACGAAATAGAAATAATGCTTTTAGTAATGACGGGAACAAAATAGCAATTTCTTAACAAAATAGAAATAATACTAAGCCCGAAGGCAGTGGTAAGAAGTATGTCCCTACAGCTAATGCAACAACTCTTGCTCCATTCCCCACGCGCAGGTCAACTTTTCTTTTCTGCAGTGGTCTACTTCTCTTTAGTCCCTGCATATTTATACAAATATGAGATCCACATCCAATATCTAATACCCAAGAAGCTAATGAAGTAGACATATTAACCTCGATAACAAAAATACTTGAAGTAGAAGTTTCAGAAAACTTCTTTCTCTTCAAGCTAGCGAGGTAAGCCTTGCAGTTCCTCTTCCAATGACCTTTTACTCCACGGTGATAGCATGGGTCATCAGATTTGATATTGTCATTGCCTGCTTTGACTGCTTTGTTATTGCCCTTAGCCTTTTTGATGTTTTCTTAAAACTTCCTTTGATTTTCCTCTTAGTGCCCTTGGAGGAATGAATAGCTAAGACATGCCCAGTGCTAGCCTTGACATTGGGCTCCACAGTTTTAAGCATATTAAGCAACTCAAGGAGTGTGCATTCGATCTTATTCATATTGAAGTTCATAATGAACTGTGAATAACTATCTGGCAGAGATTGTAAAACCAAGTCATTACTTAGTTCATGATCCATGATAAAACCCAATGAACCTAGTTTCTCAATAAAACCAATCATTTTCAGTACATAAGCATTGACTGAAGATACCTCCACCATTTTGCACGGTATAGTTGTTTAGAGGTCTCATACCTCTCCACACGAAATTGTTTATCATACAACTCTTTGAGATGAAAAATCATAGTGTAAGCATCCATACCCTCATGTTGCTTCAGCAACTCATGTGACATAGCTGTAAGCATCACACATGCTGCAGTGTTATCGTCATCACTGTGTTTGTTGTAAGCAGCCACCTCTTCCTGAGTGGAATTTTCAGTAGACACCTCTGGAAAGGGATGCTCAAGGACATGCCCAATTTTCTCATGCTTGAGAACGATTCTCAAATTACGGTGCCAATCGAGAAAATTTGGTCCGGTCAATTTGTTGGCATCCAGTATGCCTCTCAAATTCATATGATTACTCATGATTCAAAAACTGTAAATGACGAAAACTATAGAATCAATATGTATTATAATGCATTTGCACAAATTCCATATGGATTTTAATTAAACGTGCTCCCACTGTTTAAAAGGAATTCATGACCCTCATACATAAATTATTGGAATCCACATTTGATTTCCAGTGGGCTGGGATCCCATTATTTGTATCAAGATCTTGAGTGTACTCTACAAATCTTAATAAAAGATTTGGATAGATATTATTATCAATTGTATCTCCATACAACTCCCAAATCATTAAACTGACAACTCTTTTGTCTTCACACATCTTATGTGTTAGCTTAACATGTTTCGAGTGTACTCAACAAAAGATAAATTTTAGTCAAGTCGAACTCATCATTCAGAAATATCAAATATTTCATAGTGTTAAACATATCCCTAATAGACCAGTCTTGAGTGTACTCAACAAGCTAGATTTATGATTCTCGTTTTTCACTATAATAGTGGAAGGCAAATAATAGTAACTTAATATTTTAACGAGGGATTTAACATGTAATGATCTCATCAAGTAATTATATATATATATATAAAATCATGTATCAACCATGCGAACAAATATATAAATAATAGTATGGACTTGCTCTATCTAATTTTTCCGAGCCAAAGGGAAGATTAGTTGGTCAATTCCTAAGGGGTATAACATTGGATCAACATCAGTGCACCATTTCCATAGTTTTCACTTCTTCTTGCGCCTTCAATTAGTCAAGCTGCAACATATATCCTATATTAGTTGGCATGCAGGTCTAAAAGAAATTGGACTCACAGGCCCATAATAATAATAACAACAATGGACTCGTAGGTCTAATATAATAAAGAGCTCGCAAGCCCATAACAACAATAGCGGACTCGCAGGTCCAAAACAATTAAGGGCTCGCAGGCCCATAAAATAAGAAGAAGTAAATCAACCATTCAACACATCCATATAGTCGAGTCCATAATCATCCATAATTAAACATTCATCACATAAATGTTTCCTATGTATAATATATAATATTATATGCAAAGTCTCATAAATCTAGCAATTATAGTCATCAAAACTAATCATATCAATTAATTAACTTAATTCGCGGGCCTATTTAATTAAAATCAAATTTTAATTAAATCCCGAATTAGAATCCAATTCTAATTCCACAACTATTGACGAAGTAATTTAATCAAAATCAAATTTTAATTAATCATTAAATTAGAGTCCTATTCTAAATTTTAATTTGCATTGGGAAGGAGTATTAATTGAAATCAAAATTTAATTAATATAATATTAGAGTCAAACTCTAATAAAATTGAATTAATATTTTAATTTAGGACAAAACTCCCAAATAAAATAAAATTCAATTTAGGGTCAAAATTAAATATTTAAGCTAAAATCTAATTTTAACAAAAATATAAAAGTCGTCAAATTTTAAATAAATTTTAATTTTGGGCCAAATTTAGGGTATGGGTCAAACCCAATTAAAACACCATTTTAAAACCAATTTTAAAATACAAATTTAAAACATCTTTTGAAATTACAAATTGACCCAAACTAAAATTGAAAGCCAAGTCCCTCAATTTCGCAAATTGCATGATAGGCCCGGAATTTAAAATTTTGAAAAAGACCCCAATTGAAATTGCAGGCGGGGGATTGCAATTACACTAATTGCAATAGGAGCCCCCACCTCCAATCTTCCCCAAAACCCTAAGAATTTTTTTTTTTTTATTTACTTGGCGCTACTTGCCCAAAACCCGACGAGGAACTGCCTCGCCACCATAGCAGAGCTAAGGCGCTGTTGTTGTAGCGGCAACGAAGCCGCTGCAGGCGCCATTGCAGTCTGCAGCGACCCGTCAGGCAGTTGCGTGCTGCTGTGCGTGCGACGATGGCTGCCGCTCGCTTGATCCAAAAAAAAATAATAAATAAATAAAAAAATATACATATATATATAATAAACAATAAATTTAATATTCAATATTATTAATATAATAGACTTTTATATATATAAAACAATTTCAATTCCCACCAGAATTCATCTTTGTATTTAAATAAGAACTGTGATGAAAATTATACATTTTCTTGAATTTGCAAACTCTTTTAAGTTATCTTTGTTCCAACAACTTGAATCTGTCTCCCACAACTGTCAAATTGTCCAGCCTTCAATGAATTCCACACAGAGAATAGACTGCAACTGTTAGGATTTCTCCTCTTGTGCTAGCAAGAATCATGAAAACTCTATAGATCTAAAACCCTAGCCATGTATTTATATAAGCCCAAACGGGCTTGACCCGGTCCGATCCAATATTTAATTAATCCATTTAATTAAATCAGGTTTGTGAATTAATTAATTAATTAATTCAGGGCTATAAGTAACCAATCCAATTAATTAATTTATCCAGCGATTGTTAAATTAATTAATTGGCAATTTGCAATCTTCCAATTCTCTTTTGTGTGTGACCCATCAGGTTCCCGACCATGATACCTAACGATGTGAAATATTATTTTGATATAATCAAATCTGATAAATTAAACACCCTTTTAATTTATCACAAATTCACACTCGCTGTCCCAAATTGATATCTAGCAATGTATCAGGGCAACACATATGACGGGAAATGTCACGTAGAATGACAAAACCAAACTTGTTCGTTTACCATGAAACTATAGTTCATTCGTCAATATGATCCGATCAATTACGAGATATGGAAGTGTGTCAATCTCGATTATCGATCATATATTTCATTCTACTATTAAGTCAATATAAGTCGAAAACTCCTTTTCGACTTATATGTATACCTTGACCAAGGATTTCGTTATTGACTTAATTGAACAAAATGCAGATCACGATCTCTTACTATCTAAGAGTGACGAATCCTCTATTGGTCATTCACAATCTTCATATGGTTTTTGACGTATCCGAACGATGCCGTATTAGCAAATCTTGGTAGAGCAACATCCAACAACGTCAAAGCATGATTGTCCTCATACAAGGCACTATGATAACCTCAAGTCATAGGACAAGTTCCACTACCGAACGTTAGAGATTAACCACTGACACTCAAATAGTTATCTATGTGGAATCTCTTAGCGGGTCTTCAATATTTTGTTTTATAACAAAACATCCACGTATTCATTTAAATGTCCCCACACTTTAATTTGTGAGATCAGATACTTACTTCATAAGTAGGAAATGCCACACGTGATGGTCTATCTATAATAACGATATCCGCATCTCGTTATTACTTACGACCACGGATTATTCAAGATCCAATCCTACGTAATTTGTATCTCACAATCACCACTCCTTGTGATTAACAAATCACTTAAACTTGAATCTTCGAACTCTATTATTCAATATTATTTATCAGAAAATTAGTTTATATAAATAATAGACCTTGCCAAAATTTAAATACATTAAACATATTAAAAGTGTTTACAACCTAAATCGATTGGATTTAAGGCATAACACCTACAGAATATTGTGATTAACAAATCAGTTAAACTTGAATCTTCGAACTCTATTATTCAATATTATTTATCAGAAAATTAATTTATATAAATAATAGACCTTGCCAAAATTTAAATACATTAAACATATTAAAAGTGTTTACAACCTAATTGGATTTAGGGCATAACATTGGTCATGTAAACTTTAATGTGGAGTTCAATAACTAAAATCAGTGTTCATTTCTTGGTTATTACTCCTGGATACAATCGAATCGCATATTGATATGCATAAGAACGAGCCTGTATTCCATTGGATGTCAACATAAAGTGAGCAGCGCCTGCAAATTTCTGGTATACAACAATGGAATAGTGAATATGAATATAGTGCAGACAAACACATCATTGACCAAAAAAATAAAAAATAAAAAATAAATAAAAAATAAAAAAAAAAAAGAGAAAAAAAGAGGACGATTTCTCCTCAAATGGTTCTCAACGTCTCGAAGTTCTCTCATCTTCATATTGTAACAGCATAAAAGATATAAAATGCAAAAACGACCTTTGAGAAAATTTCTAATATCAAACTATTAATTGACCAAAATTGTTGGCTACATGCAATGGTCATAACGGATCTGTATATCCAAAAATGTGCCCTTTGATTGTCAGACTAATTTGATTATATGAATACAAGGAACTGTGATATCTCTACAATATGTACAGAGTTTATCTCATGGAAATAGCTGCACATAACCAGTTGCAATAGCAATTCCTAAAATGATAAGAGGTGGAAAAAGGACAAATGCTCCAATAGTGGCAAAGAAAACCGAATCATTCCTTCGAGACACTTCATTCAAGTAAGCCTGTCTTTTGATATTTCTCCTCTGAGAAATAGTTAAAAATTTGGCACTAAACTTCTTCAGATTTTTACCCAGTGGAACGCTGAAATCATCATCACGATCTCCAACCAATTTGGCAAGTTGATTACGTATAGTCAGTTTATCAGAACTACCATCACTCTCATAACCTGTCAAGTGATGACCAAAATTAGCTACTTAGGGTCATGTTTAATAGAAGTAAATATCTCCATCTTGGGAAGAAGGAAAGGAAAGGGAAACCTAAATTTGATGTGCTATAGTCCAAACTGGGCAATACCATTAACAGAGGAGCCACCAGAAGTGAGTTGCTCCAACAGATCCAGTTGCACCCTGGCAGAAGATGACGATCCTTAAATTGAAAGGGTATTAGAAAGACATTAGTCTGATAAATCAAATTAAGTTTCTATAAGAAAGGGATAGGAACACAAAAGATCTTGAGAAGAACTGATAATACAGCTTAATAGGAAGCATGTGGATATCATCAATCGTAAAGCCATAAATTAAAAAAGTAATGTCTGATATTTATGTGGTTTCACCTCAATTTAACATTTAGACTTGTAATCTAATGCCCAAACAGCATTTATGTCATCTATCCTGATAAGTGATGACTTATATCTTCATCAACATTTACTACTATCACCCTTTTCTTGGTTACTTTTTAACTTCATGACAAGGGAACCATTTGGAATGACTTATACCCCTCATATCATTTAAAAAATTTAAGTGTTCGATTGAGTGGAACCTAGTTATATTATGCGCTTAAAGAGATGTATTGGGCATTTATTTCTCAGCATTAGTTCTCCCAAACTTCCTACACTATATAAAAGAATCTGAGGGGTGTTTGTTTTGCTTAGCGTGTGAGAAAAGACAGAGAAGCGCGAGATCTCCACTGTGTACTCATTTTTGGTTATAGTGTAAATTCCATGAGATAAGTCACTTTAAACCTCTGTGTTCCAATGTGTGCATTTCTAATCTTTGTTTCATTCATTATTGCTCGATAAATTGGAATCAGGGCTTAATCCTAAAATTAGGATGGAGCCTTTTATTAACACTATGCCATCTGAAATGTATTTTATTGATACAATCCTTTTCTTTTCTCCATTTCTAGCGATGGAACTCTATAACCACTTCGTCTAAAAGCTTAAGCTCAACGACATAGACGAGCTCCTGGCATTAAGGGCCGGCTCGACCCATTGCCAACCCTACCTAATAAGGAAAGGCAGATCTTTCAAAGATAAAATAGCCCAAAATTTGAAACTCTATCGCCAACAATGAAGAAAAAGGCATATAATAGGGATGAAATATTTTTCTATTTTTCAAACCAAAAAGGAAGAGTGAGATCTACAGCGACTGGATATTATTTTTTTTTTTTTTTTTTTTTTTTTTTTTGGTTATTTACACTTATTTCTCAAGTGCATATAACAATAGTATAAAATCATCAACATCACTCACTAAAAACCATCTAATCAACAACAACCCAAGTTTCTTAAATCATTATTCCTGTAAAATTTTCTGGGTTTTCCTCCAAAACAAAATTTAAAAAAAAAAAAAACAAAACGAAGAAGGTTAAACAATGTCAAGAAATGCTAAGATACCATAATAAGCAGGGGATTCCTCCTCTGTGACTCTACTTTCAGCTCCTTCAGAGAAAGCAGCTCCGTTCAGAGAAGATGGAGATGGAGTGGAAGTTTCATAGAGCTTCAAGGGATGTTTCTTATATCGAATTTTCAGTGAATGGATTTTTGGGTGTAGAGAAGCAGTACCAAAATTCAGGGCCATGGGATAATTTCGGTGTTCTGAGATTTTCTAGTTCTAAAGTTGGAAGCTTTTGGTTTTCCATTTCACTTGCTAATAATTCGATAAACGGACACCTCAATTTAAGTCTGAGTTCAAGAAATTAGATCCTCCACAAATATTTCCTGTGGGTCCAGTATCTTCCCGAAGCAGCCAAATCACTCTAATAATAAATGACAACCTTGGAATGTAGATAGGGTGTACTCACCTTTTACAATAGCACGTGTGCATATTTTAGAGGGAAAATTCTTGGTAAGGGTACATAAATTATGTAATTTAGACCAAGCACAACCTATTTTAGAGAGTGAGGATCATCATCATTCTTATGCTTCAGGGTTTATCACTGAATTTATGGAAATGGCCAAAATGTTTTTATGTGTTTAGTTTTAACCCCGCTTTTGAATCGAGTGATTGGATTTTTCTTACAAACTTTGTTCTGTATATTGAATTCTGCTCTTTGCATTTGAAATTATTGAATGTAGAATATATATACTCGTAGCTTTGATGTTTTGTAGTTTTGCAGTTCTGATCGGATTTGATTTAGTACTTGAAGAGTACAAAAATACAGACAAGATGTTAAGCGAATTGCATTTCCAAAAACAATCGTGCTCCTTGTCCCGGCTTGGGGACAGGGGTGAAAACAGGGCCGGGGACAGGGGGTTTAATCCTTCCAGAAATGATGTCAATCATAAAAGGACAGTAATTGCATATTTACACACAATGTTTACTTGCTAGAACTTGACAAACAAGAAAATCGAAGAGACGAAAATGCTCTTGCTCCTAAATGGTGGATACTGTTGGATTTTGATACACAATAAATTTCGGATGATGATGTTAAACGGTTTGAATTATATTTCATAGGCCTCGACTAATGAGTGAAATATCTATCAACACAATCAATCAATTGGTTCAACCTGAAAAATAACTTGAGGGCAATTTAATTTAGTTAATATTGCTTACGACCCATTTACTTTTTGGATGGTTATCTTTTGTGTTCCAGTCCCTTTACCATTTGTTGGTTCATGAGCCCACTATTATTACATCCTAAATCTATATATTGGCCTCATTGTGAAAGAAGTCGTGTGTGTGCAATTGTGAAGAGAGGCAGCTGACTTTTCTTGTGTTTTCTCTCTTCGAGTTGAAACTTGTCTTCCTCTTTCCTTGGTTACATATCGCAGCCCCCCTATTGTGTTCTTTATGAATACATTGAGTTAAGCAACCGAAGTAAAATATAGTTGTGGATTGGAGCCATTGGTTGGGTATCTTTTGATAAGGTTGGGATTGGTTTACTAAGCTCGGATTTGACAAATTGAAGATCTATTCTGCAACAGATACCCTTGAAATACAAACTCTCTGAAACCCGAAAGAGCTGGACCAGTATTCGGTGAAATACTTAAATGAGATCGTGTTGTAGCTTTGGCCGACTTTGTATTGCTTTGACCTAATGGCACGCAAAGGGCTATTTTAGCACTTATAGGTTGATCTTCTTTCCTAGCTTGGGAAAGTTTGAAAGGTAGTGAAATTTAGTTGCGGTTTCCAGGCATTGAGATCGACTAGTGACAAGTATAGAAGCAACAATATATGTATTGCAGGACATTCCTTAGGAGCTGGTTTTGCTCTCCAAGAAGGAAAAACATTAGTCTAATAAGGAATATTCGTAGAGGCACATTAGTTCTATTCGCCCTCGATTTCATTAGCCACGAGTTTAAGAAACATCAGGAAAAAAGCTGAAGTCATTTGGAAGAAGTTCAAGTCAATGCTTCCTTCAAGCACTGAAGCTCAGTCAAACAGTGACAAAGGGAGGGGGATCAAAGTAATGGATATCTCATTCGTATGTAAATGATAGCGACAATATATGTTTTGCCTATACTAACTCAACTGAATCCAAAGGTAACAATGCTACTACTAACAATTATATAATTATAATTTGTTGATTTTATAATTCTTGAGTTGTAAAAGGATGAAATTCCCAAAAAAACTCAAGAATCTAAGTATGTTTCATGAATGGGGACATCATTTGAAGGAAAAAGAAAAATCCCGAAACAAAAAAACATAAGATAAGACAAGGCCTGGACATTAATCTATACATGGACTATGATAAGCTTTTATGTAAAAAAATCTTATATAGCAATAGTATGGTACATGAATGGGGACGTCATCAGAAAAAAAAACATTTCTTTAGAACAAAGAATTTGCACGTAGTGGAACGGGACACTCAGGTTTCTTGACCCGGTATCATGCACTTTACACTCATGATATCTACACATTCAACAGTACCACACATATAAAATGTACATATATCGTTCAATATAACTTGCTCTTGAGAGCAAATAATGCACATTTCCTATAATTATTTATACATGACATTGATAGAATATATCCACATAACAATGCACAACATAAGCCCTTGGCTAATGATTCTTGAACCAAGTGTGTATACATACATATACATACGATCATATGAAGCCAGAGAAATTATAATCATAAACACAGACCTCTTGCTGAATCATAGCATAGCATGCATCATAATTATACAAAATTGGATCCATCTCCAACAGCAGTGACTCTGTATCCCCATAATACGATGGAAACTCAATATTTTGGCTATTGAACGAATTTTCCATCACACAATCCAATGTTTCTGGTATTTGTAAATCCGGGGAGCTTTCTTGTGCAATACTGAAACCCGATGTATTGAACGACAAATCCCAACTATTTTCTTGAAATGCATGATCTTGAATGATCTTTACAGGTGATGGAGATGAGAGTAGTGTAAAATTTCCATTACCAGTCAGTTGTTGAACAAGAGTCTTGAAATTAGAAGAGTCTGTAATATAAACTTTGGGCCGCAAAATCTTTAATAAAGTTTTGATGATTTGTTTCTTGTTCTTCTTCTTAGGTATTTTCATAGGAACTTGAGTGGACTTTGGTTTCTTCCCCATGTTGTCTGAGAAACTAGATAGGGATTTCAATTTGGCCTCGATTTTTTCGACCTCCACCTCCTTTGGAGAATACTAATTTGATATGAGAGGTGGAAATATACAACTTAGGCCACAAGACAGAAATATACTGAAAATGATGTTTATTGTTCATATGTAAATAACAACATCCACCCCAACCCAACCCTTCCCCCCCCCCCAAAAAAAAGAAAAAAGAAACACCATAACACCTCTCTCTATGTCTTTTTGTTATTTTTTTCCATTTTTTTTTTTTATTATTTGTGTCAGTTCATGAAGTTGAGTGTAGGAGAAAATGACACAGGTTGAATAATTAAAAACTATTATAGAAGATTAGACTAACAGCAAAGGCACGCAACTAACTATTCTCTAGCTCGTCTCCTTCTTCACTAGCTCAGCAGTTGAATCAGAACCCTCAACACAACTTTACCTTGAAGTTAGTACAAAGTAAATGTTCTTTCACAGTTTTAGGATCATCAGTGGTTGTATTATGTGGTACATAGGATCATTCCAAGTGTATTTTAACCGAAAAACAGAGAAATAACAAAAGTTATAATCAAGAACTTATCCATAACTGTTCCTGGAAATAATTCATAATTCATAAGATAAATCCATGAAAACAAAATAGAGTTGGTCCGGGGAGAATTTTCTTGCCGGACAAACACAAACGTTTAAGTTAATATAAGCATACATCATTATCAGAATGAAAGTGATCGAGACATTACATCACACTAGACTCCATTCCTACAAGAATAGTTATTTGAGACAGCAATTCCTCTTGTACAACAGATGCTGATGTGGCAACATCTTGTGTAGCTATCTTTTTTTTTGTTATCCCCTCATCCAACGGATTGCTACCAAGTGTCTCCTAATGGAATTCTAGCAGTCATTTTCTTTACTTGCAACATATCTCTATTTGAGAAGACTTGATGTAGCAAAAATTCTATGAACTTCTCCAGTCAAGAACTAATGCAACGGGAGACAAAAATTATTTAGCCCATATTTGTCTATCATTATTTCAAAACTCATTTTCAACTGCAATCTGAATTTTTTTCTTACTTTTTAATTACACAATCTCCAAAAATTCACCATTTCAAAATTTATTTTCATTGAATAATGTTGGACAAACAGGGGCTAAATAGTATCAAAATAAAAGGTGAATCGGAATGAAGGATGTTTCTTAAATCACTCGGGAACAAAAATTAGCCCAAAGAGGCAATGGCTAAGGTGTTCATAATCATACAAATCTAACCCAACAAAAATTACGAGTGATTTTTCATATCACAAACATGATAAATTTGATTCTTATTCTCACTATTTCTTTTTTCCCTAATCATACCCTACCGGATTATGCTATAACCAATGCATCTAGGACATGTTTTACTGGGTAAATCTATAGAAAAACATCGCATCTCTATTTCCTTAATCTTTCCAACATTCTGATAGGCTGATTTGTGCAATGTAATTCTCAAGTTATATTCAATATATCATCACAGCAAACTGTTTTTGTATTGATAAAATGAACAAAAATTAGTTGACAATTCCAAGTATTCCAGAAGCTTAGATCTCTCCCCACTTTTCTAAACAACTCACTGAATGCTCATCTAATTCCTCTCCCCATTTTATTCATAGGGTTTCCCTCTAACCTACTAATGAACATTCTAAAATAACAAATGACGTGGCAGCATCCATGTGAACCTGATACAAATCTATCACATTCCAAACAAGAATATTAAGTTTTAATAGAAAAAAGCCACAATTTTGTTCTGATTTCGATGTGATCACCAAAATATCCAGCCTCTTGGAAATATACAAGCCAACGACTTCAGGCAGCCATCTTGGGTAGTGTCACCTCAAGGAGTCATTCTCTTGTTATCTTTCAGTCGATCTCTACAAATTTAAACAGTACAGAACTATAGGCCATAAAAGGAGGATCTAAAAAAAGAAAAAAAAATTCATACAATTTCTAATAGATCAATGTTATGGTTCATTTCTTTCCAATAAATGCATACAACTGCAATAGATCATTGGTCATTTGTATATGTCCCACATATTAAATCCAGGTTTCCCATTGCAATGCTCCAATGATATAGAAAACAATATTCTGACTTTAGATGGGGAATAAGGCACTTTGGATTCACGGTTTAATGATGAACGGATTTTGAAGAACTTGCTATCCACCATATCATTTTGTTTGATCAATTTAAGGACAATGATGTTACAAATGAAATAATCAAGAACATGATTCCCAAAACAGAATTGCGAAATAATACGAGGTATAGAAGGTAAAGACAGAAATCAGATGATTGAATGTGTACCACCACCTATAGTGATATTTTGAAGGCAAATCTGGTGGAGGAGAAGATTTATGGACAGATTATTATGCTTGAAAAGGTTTATGATTCATTCCCTCTTAACGATGACCCCAGTTGCAGCATCAGAGAGTAAACAGGACTGAAGTCCTTGTCTCCTCTGGCCCTTACCTTTGCAGCATAATCATCCAAAGTTGATTTGATACCTTTCCAAATTTGATCCTCCCCTTGAGAATCCATCCACAGCGAATATTGGACAGGTGTAAGCTTGTTCCTTTGCAGAGGTGATTGCAAATCTTCGGGGCCCCGTGAATAGAGATGATGAAGTACGACACTTGGTGGAAGATCTTGAAGAAGTGGTGAGTCTCCCATTTGAGATGTTTCCAAGAAAATAACTGGTCGAAATGCTCGAAGGGCCCGATATGGTGCTCCAAGTTGCTCTACAGGAAACAAGTTTTGGCCTACTGCCAATTCAAGTTCAGCCATGTCCCTAGCCATTCTCAGCTTCCCTGATTCTGATAATGGTCTAACAAGTGAAGCATGTCTAATAAAAAAAATTAAAACCCGAGACGCCATGCTCCTCACAAGCCTTGTGCATATAGTTTCTGCTCCTGCAGAGATAGCGCCAGAAGAAGGTAAAAGCCTGGACAAAAATTCAGTCCGAAAATGAAGAATGCTCTTCTGCAATTCTTCCATGTAAGGTGAGGCATTGTTGTCCATAGCAGCATCCATGCTGAGAGTACCAAAATTCTGATCATGAATTTGCAAAATGCAGGACTCGAGATGATCAAGCATCGCTTGAAATAAGGGAGTTACTGAATCACAAGCAACACCATATATTGTACCAAGAGCAGGGGATAAAATATCTGAAGCGATACTTGGCAGTCCTGCTATCATTGATGTTACACGTCCATGGATTTCTTGCAGATGCTGACTTAATGTGAAGTTCTTGATCTGCGACGGTGTAGCAGGACCAGCTATTTGGCGTGCTTCAGGGCCAGTTGATATCTGCCATCAAAAATTACTTGTCAGATTGAATTGAGAGGGGAAGTTGTACATAGAGGGGTTACAAACCAAAGCCACGATAATTCATTTACTTACAAGATTAAGAATGTTATTTCCAAGTCATTATGTAAACAAAAAGTAATAAGCATAATGTCATGATTCACAAATAATCTCATTTGTTGTCTTTCCTAAACAAGAATGACTTTTCATCTTTCCCTAGTGTTATTAGAAGTTATAGTAATCAAAATCATCTCTAATTCATTTCAAACTCCTAATGGAAAAATTAATCTCTAAGACCAGTATAAACCATAAAATGAGAACACAAGAAGATTTTTCTTCCTCTCTTTTGTTTTCATGCTAGGTGTTTGCGGGGCTGTTAATGACAATGCATAAATTCATTACTATGAAATCAAACGATATTGGTCACTGACTATTAAAGATGAAGATCAAGTCAAAATGTCCAGAATAAGAATGCCAGACTATGAATTAGAGATGGGCAGAAATATACTGTTAGACTGAGGCTAATTCGAATAAGAAGATTCGACACAAGGATAACATGTGCAAAACAAATCCTAGAAGCTAAGCACTAAAAGTTGTTTTTAAGGTGTCCAGCAAAGTTAATCCCCTAATCATATGCAACTAACAGTAAAATAAAGACATAACATTCTTTAAAGCAAACACTTGGCATAATTTTGGCCAAAAGTGCAGTTTTCACTTTGCAATTTGGAAATCTGACTTAACCACGAAGATCGGTCCAGTTCATAGAAAAATCAGTCCAGGCATAGCAGGTTTAAATTGATTAAGGCTGGTGAAAATGGACAAGATATTGAACTGGAAAAGGAGACAATGGGTAAATTATATGGTTGGCACGAAAAGAAAACAGTAGCCAAGAGAAATTTTTACCTTTACTATAGTGTTTTGGGTAGGGATGGGTGCACAGTTCGCATCATAAGAAGACGCCTTAAACTGTTCAGCAGATGTCCTTGTTATTGAGAAAAAAGTATTCGCCCTTAATCGCCTGAAATCTATTTAGGACGGAATGGAGAACTAGAGGATTGTGAGGTACTATGATAGCTGCGTAAATGAACCTTTTGCTAGAAAGAGATCCTTTATCTGTAGTGTACTTTCTAAATTGCTAGTCCTCAAATCAGTCTCCCAACATATTATTAAATTTGTCAAGAATAGAAAAATTGGACAACTCTGGACAAAGATGAGTAAACAGTAGAGGTTGTATAACAACGAAAAATGAGAGACCAAAAAAAGGCCCCCCCCCACCCCCCCCAAATTTTTGCGTAAAATCATGGGATAACTTAAGTGGCAGATCTGAAGTGATATATGGAACAATAACAGCAGCAACTGAACCCATTAAATGAGACAAACATATAGAGGTTTGTAGTGGGTAGGGAATAGCACGAACATTTCGAGCACTTGGCTAGCATAGCCGCATAGGTTAGAGAAAGAAATGGGAATCATGCACATCTCCATAAATCCATGGGTAGAAAACAAAGATACATACTATATTTTAGTACAAGTTCATGCCTCCTAGACTTGGCAATTCAGAACAATCAATCCAGTGATAGTTATGTAGACAAGTGGATGGGTTCTCTAAAAGACATTATCATGTGAATATGTGGTAGTACTTACAGCAGCAACTGAACCCATTAAATGAGACAAACATATAGAGGTTTGTAGTGGGTAGGGAATAGCACGAACATTTTGAGCACTTGGCTAGCATAGCCGCATAGGTTAGAGAAAGAAATGGGAATCATGCACATCTCCATAAATCCATGGGTAGAAAACAAAGATACATACTATATTTTAGTACAAGTTCATGCCTCCTAGACTTGGCAATTCAGAACAATCAATCCAGTGATAGTTATGTAGACAAGTGGATGGGTTCTCTAAAAGACATTATCATGTGAATATGTGGTAGTACTTAATGACTAGCTATGTTTAGTATTAATCTTGATCTGTAATCAGATAATGCCTGGTCCTTATCTTGTGACTTGGAAGAAAGCTTTCCTGTATGTGCTAATCAGTGAATAAATATGGTTCATCAAAAGACATGATACTGTGGACAATCAAGACTTCTGATACACTGATCCACTCCACAAATTATTGAATTGAATAAAGCTACCCAAAATGTGGCGCATGGCACTAATGGGTACAAAACAATATTAATCCTCCTATTTTCATGTTCTAAAATTTATACACTTTAGTTTATGCTATGGTTTCAAAGCTGGTAAGGATGATTATTGATGTCTACACAACATACTTAACATTTCTTCAAAGACATCGAAGTAGTATTTGGGGCAGGAGACAAAATCAAGAGGTTTGGACTATGTCAATCAACTAGTTTGCTTATCTTTTTAAAGTGCCATCCCTGTGATCATTTAAATCTAAGTAAAACAGAAATAAAGGACTGTACAGAATAGAAATTCCCCTCCACCCCAAAAAAAAAATGTGGGTGGAATGGATTTCTAGAGGTAAAATATTAGGAATTTACAAGGAGAATAAAAGGGCACCTGATATTCGGCTCTTTCTGCAAGTAAAAGAAAAACTTTGCTGATTTCACGTAAGACAAGAAGAGTCAAACGTGCATCCAGATGCACAGCTTCAATTTCTTCCTGAATGCGCGATGTAATCCTTGAGATATGCTCTTTCGATGGAACAGTTCCACGGCTAGACATGTTAAATACAGAATTAACAAGATCAGAAAGTCGACTCAAGCAGAGCCCCAAAAATGCTGTCTGGAAAATCTCAATGGCAGCTATCATTTGTTCCTTTCCTTCTAAACTGAGAGCTGGGGGAACTCCTTTAACATCAGTATCACGTGAAATTCTTTCAAGAAGGTTCTCAATCGTAGACAATAGCTTTGGATACCCTGTAGTAAATATCTCCTTTACAAAGCTTGATGCAGTGAAAACAGACTTCATTTGACTTGCAAAAGATTTTACTAAAGCCTCCCAAACACGGTCAGTTAACATGGGATCACCTTCCTGAGAAAACATGGGCAGACATAAGCAGCTAACAGATGACTTGACATCACCAAAAAATTCAAAGGTATTTAAAAAAGAAAAAAAAAAGGCGAAGATCAATAAGAAGGTCAACTACATGAATGGCCAGGGAAACCCATTCGACAATTTGGATTTTTAATACTCGGAGCGTAAATGGGAGACTGAAGCCTGATTAACCCAAAGTTCATTCAAGATCGGCTTAGAAGATGAAATAGCCCAATGAATGGTACTCAAATGGTAAGCTCTAAGGCTCCGGATGAGTGCATCAATGAAGTTAAATTTAATTATAATTTTTTAAAATATATAATTAATTTAATTTTGTGATCTACCAAATGATTGTTGCTTCAGTAGTCAGGCCAAGAATTATACTAAGCATAGGTCTTAGACCGGGTGTCAAACAGTAGAACATTTGGCCAAAGTATGTACTTGTGCATCGAAAAATCTTCAAAAAGAGAGAGAGATTGTGCGTCTCTCAACTAAAAACTAGCAACTTATATACACTGCATTTGAAATAGATCCTGCACATTGCAAAGCTCCAGATGAGTCTGTCATTTCATAAATTCTGCAATACAGCTTGATTTTGACTCCTTGCAAGGACATGCTTATAATTTCTATGCAGCATTACAAGTAGCAAAAATGTGACTAACTAAACCAAAAATTCTGTTCTATTACAAAGTCAAATTTAACTAACTGTGTAATAGTTGATCAAGTAAACAGTTGAAGGAACATCTAGTCCCTGTTTGGTTCAGCTTAAAATTTGAATTAAAATTTATGTCAAAGTCAATAATTAATTATAACCATACATTTCATGGACCATAATTTTTCATCCATACATGCCATCGACTTATATCAAAATCTACTAAAAAATGATTTTTATCTAAACCAAGCAGGGGACTACTAAGTTTGAAATTAATTACTGAACAACAGAGAAAACTGCCGAGCATGTGCTCCAATATAACAACCAAAGAAACCCGAAATTTTTGCTGTCCCTAAAAACAATGAAGAAGAAGATTATCTTACGCGAACTCATTTAGAAATATCCATGAACATAAGGATAATATACTTGAAACCAATCTCTACTTCAACCAAAATGTGTATTTCCCTCAAATTGACCCTAAATGGAAGACTTTGAGATGCACTTAATACCTAGAAGTTTATAACATCAATTTTGAGCTCTTCAGAAGTTTAACCTAGCATCTAACGGAAATTGAAATAAAAGCTAATTAAAACAAATCAGATTGGTAAGAAACCCACTTATTCTTGTAAACATTCATTTTGGTTCATTCAAATTCTCTGCTACCTTCACCATCACTTGTTTAGACCTGTGTAACTTGTGTTAAGTTAAAGTAACCCTTGAGTTCATTCATCCAGTGGTTCTAAAGACAGAAAAATTCATCCCATATTACAAGGCCATCATAGCATAGTTGATCATAATGTTGATAAGATTATTGGAATTTCCTACAAATCAGCTATATGGTTGATTTTGCTCTATTTATCAGACTATTTATCAGATATTATCTTCATGCTTCTTATTAGGATATTGTTAGATAAAGTGTAAATACTAATATGTTGTATTCTATGTTTATCTGTTGATTACAACTGTTACATCCTAGTTTACAGCTAACAGTTTCAAGTAGTTAGGCAGTGGACATATTATATATAGATGATCAATCCAGAAATTATTGGAATGAATAATATTTTTCCATACCTTTATTATCAAAATGGTATCAGAGCAAGTAAATGTATTTTAGATTAGTTAAACGTGAATTGAGAGAGACACTTAAATAGCGACTGCAAATGACGGCGAGAAGCTGGAGAATCCCATTGATAAATTTGCATCTGTTAGTGGAACAATACAGTAGATTAGTGGCAATGACAGTTCTCTCCAAATCACAGTTCATAAACTGACTGGCCCAAATTTCATCCCCTGGTCACAATCTATTCGTGTTCGTATTGTGATTACAGGAAGGGGTAAAATTGGGTATATCAATGGCGAAATTCAAGAACAAGAGAAAGACTGCACAAAGTGGAAGGTTTGGCAAGCAGAAAACTCAATGGTGATGGCTTGGCTAATTAATTCTATGACTGAGGATATAGGACAAACATTTCTATACTACAAGACAACCCAAGAGGTGGGATGCCATCTGTGACACATAATCGGATCTGGAAAATGAAGCTAAGGTATTTGAGCTGAGGTGCAAGCTGAAAGAGTTGAAGCAGGGTGATCAAAACGTCACTCAGTATTGTAACTCTTTGACTAAATTATGACAAGAGTAAGACTTATACTGTGATATCGACTGGAAGTGTTGAGATGACAGCAAGAAGTATCGACCTCAGGTGGAAAAAAAACAGATATATGACTTCCTAGCTGGCTTGATAAAAGAACTAGATGAGGTTCGAGGACAACTTGTTAGCACCCAGCCCTTACCATCAATCCGAGACGTGTTCGCAGAGGTTCGTGGAGAGGAATCCAAGAGACGTGTGATGCTTGGAACCATGAAGACTGGTGGTTATGATGGATCTGTTTTGATGTCCAAAGGACCTGAATTCAATGACAGTACAGAGAAAGGGGGAGAAGCAGGATCATTCTTTACCAGAGTACCTGGGAACAATAAAAAGAACAACCGGTTCACAAAAAAAGGAGACAGTATTTGGTGTGACTATTGCAATAAGCCAAGACACACTGGAAAATTGCTGGCAACTTAACCAAAGGATGCAGATTTTAGAAACAATCGAGGTTCTCAATCAAAGTATACAGATCGAGGAGCAAATATGGTGGGCTATCACAACCGTGGAATTGATGGAGACTTGGGTCAAATCTCTTACTTGAAAGATCAGATTATCAGTCTCTAGAAGATGATAAATGGTAACAACAATCCTTCTTCATCCTTATAGCTCAGAAAGGTAATCATTGTGCAGCTCTCACTATTTCACACCTGAAAAACAATCCTGGATCATAGATTCAGGGGCTATTGATCATATGACAGGATTTCATAATATATTCAAGACTTATTCATAACATTCAAGCAGTCTTAAAGTGAAAATAACAGATGGTTCATTAGCCCCTGTTGTTGGGATTGGAACAGTAGTTATTAATAAAGATCTAAAATTGGAGTCTGCTTTATATGTTCCTCAGTTAACATGCAATCTAATTTCAGTTAGTAAACTCTCTCAAGATCGGAATTGCTGTGCTAATTTCTACCCTACTTCTTGTCAATTTCAAGAACTTTCTTCGGGGAAGATGATTGACAATGCTAAGGAAAGAGGAGTTCTCTATCTGTTTGAAGAAGAAGAGAATGGTGATGAAGAAGAACATGAATCCGGTGGTTGTTTTCCAAGTTCTACCGTGTCAAGTCATATGTTAGAAATAATGGTGTGGCATTATAGATTAAGCCAACCAAGCTCTATGTATTTGAAACATTTGATGCCATCTTTGTTTAAAAATAAAAATCCAATCAATTCCAGTGTCAGGTTTGGGGTACGAAAGCGATAATAAAATTCTTGTACCAAGAATTGAAATAGGAAAATCTAGGAATAACTTGCTTGTATTAATTTGACAATGAACGAATGAATGAAAATTGTACAATGTATCCTATATTTATAGACAAATTATCCCTAATCCTAAAAGTACTTGAAGATTGAAATAAGGAAACTATGAAATTAATAAAACTCTAATCTAATTAAAACTTCTAAAAACTATAATCCTAACAAAAGTCCTATTACAAGAAAACTAAAAAGAAATCAAACTCCTAAAAAATATAAAACATCTTAGTAGTAGGAAACTAATTGTAGTTGTACTACATCAATCCCCTCCACTTGAAAGAAAACTCATCCTCGAGTTTTGCTTTTGCAAGGAAAAGAAAATCTATCAATGTGGAGGAAAATACTCAAAAAATTCTATCAATACTGATATTGAAAAAATTTCAATTTCTTGATGTGCTCGATAAAGTTATTTTCTTCAATTTCATTGTTTGAAGGCAATTTTGCTTCCACCATGCTCATACTATTTTCTTCATAGATAATTCCTATATAACCTTCCTTTGTTAACGAAGTATAATTCGATTTCTCTTCCTTCGGTCCACTCTCATAAATCCATAATGACACGGGTTTGCAAAGGTCGTGATTTGTACACCTTGCGCCTATCCCATCAAGCCTTGGTCCCACCTATTGTTGTCATTGGTGATCAACAAGGAGCTAGAGTCTCTTTTGCAGGCCTGGATCGAAGTCTAGACCTATTCTAGAGTGTGTGTTAATGTCCGCTACAACCCTAGGGGTTCCTCTCGTTGAATCAGTGTCTCCTTCGTCATCGCCAGAATCTGGGTTGTCTTCTTTCTGCCAATCATCTTGTTTGCCGGGTTCCTCCTCCATGGGCTCGTGATTCTTCTCAACAGTCAACGCAATCAGCATCTACGTGATTTTGCAAAGGGTCTCACACCTACCCAATTGTTCTACACTGGACTCACAGTGATTCTGAATAGTCATCGCAATTAGTATCCGCGTGTATTGTGAAGAGCTTCTTCCATCCCATCAAGTCATCGTTCAATTTTTTCAAACCTCCGTTCGTTGTCTATTGTTTGCTTACCACTCGAACCGTCTTCAGCCATCAAATTAAGGCCAGTCCTTGCTCTTATACCAATTTTGGTGCGGAAGCGATAATAAAATTCTTGTACCAAGAATTGAAATAGGAAAATCTAGGAATAACTTGCTTGTATTGACTTGATAATGAATGAAAATTGTACAATGTATCCTATATTTATAAGCAAAATTATCCCTATTCCTAATAGTACTAGAAGATTGAAATAAGAAAACTATGAAATTAATAAAACTCTAATCTAATTAAAACTTCTAAAAACTCTAATCCTAACAGAAGTCCTATTACAAGAAAACTAAAAAGAAATCAAACTTCTAAAAAATTTAAAACATCTTAGTAGTAGGAAACTAATTGTAGTTGTACTACTTCAGTTTGTCAATTTGCGAAGCATCAAAGAGCTCATTTTAAGCCACATACTTACAAAAGCTCAAAGCAGTTAGCACTAGTCCATAGTGATATTTGAGGTCCAGCTAGAGTTTCCAATCTTTCACATACTAAGGGATTCATCATACCCGTCTTTGTTGGGTCTTCCTCATGAAAAATAAATCTGAAGCAATATCCATTGTGCATAACTTCTACAATATGATTTTCACCTAGTTCCAAACCAAACTTCAAGTACTAAGGATAGACAATGGAACTGAATATTTTCCTTCAGTGCTAAAAACATTTTTTCAAGAAAAAGGGATCATGCATCAAAGTTCATGCATTGACACACCCCAACAAATGGAGTCGCTGAGCGTAAAAATAAGCATTTGTTAGAAGTTGCTAGGGCTATTATGTTTGGATCAAATACACCTAAACACTATTGGGGGAAGCTATTCTTACAGCAACATATTTAATCAATAGACTTCTTCACAAGTTATTCAATACAAAACACCTATTGAGATGTTTACACAAGAACATCCTCATGCACAAATATCCAATCTCCCACCAAAAATATTTGGGTGCACTGCATTTGTTCATGTCCATAGTATACATAGATCCAAACAGAACCCTGAGCTATAAAGTGTGTGTTTCTTGGTTATAGTTCCACCCAGAAGGGCTATAAATGTTATTCTCCTACCCTTAGGGAATTTTTTGTAACCATGGATATTACCTTCTTTGAAAACAATCCTTTCTGTACCACTTCACTTCAGGGAGAGACAAATAATGAAGTTCAGTAAACAATCCTTTCTGTACCACTTCACTTCAGGGGGAGACAAATAATGAAGTTCAGTGGGATGTGACAATTCTTGTTTCAAATTTAAATTCAGATTTAAACCCAAATCCTAGTTATTTGAGCGATACACAACAAAATCAACCTAATCCAAATCCAATTGAACCCGAAGCAGAATTAGCAAGGACTAATTTATACCCCATATCCAGATTCTGGTTCAAAGGACAATAACAAATTCATTCCTACCGATACTTTATTCAATCACAAGCACCCAACAGAGGTGAATCTGGATGCTACCAGGCCACAGGAATTCAAAGTTTGCTCAAGGACACAACACACAAAGACTAAATCTGCCTTGCATGACCAGGATTTGGAACCTAAGGAAGCTCCTCGAAGACAAGGTAATCATGATGATAATTACCTATTGCCTTAAGAAAAGGGGTTAAGACGTACTCAACATCCTATCTCCAATTTCATATCTTATTCTCGAATATCTTCTACACACAAAAGTTTCTTGTCCAGTCTTTCTACAGAGGAAATACCAAGGAACATTGAGGAAGCTATGAAGACGAAGAAATGGAAGAAGGCAACTAGGGAGGAAATGAAATCTTTAGAAGGTAACAATACGTTGGAAATTGTGAGGCTGCCAGAAGGAAAGAAAACAGTGGGTTGTAAGTGGCTGTTTACAATTAAATATAATGCAGATGGCTCAATAAGTAGGTACAAGGCGAGGTTGGCTGCTAAGGGATTTACCTAGAACTTTTGGAGTAGATTATTCAGAAACATTTGCACCTGCTGCCAAATTATATACTATAGGTGTTTTACTCTCTTTGGCAGTCAACTTGAGTGGCCATTGGAACAACTAGATGTGAAGAACGCTTTCTTAAATCGAAAAATTGAAGAAGAAGCATATATGAATATTCCACCTAGTTTCATAAATGAAAATGATAGGAATAAAGTGTGCAAGTTAAAAAAGTCATTATATGGATTAAAACAGTCCCCAAGAGCTTGGTTTGGGACATTTACAAAGGACGTTTGAAGTCTCGGTTTCACTCAAAGCCACTCTGATCACACTATGCTTGTTAAGTTCAATTGTAGTGGAAAGCTCATAAAACTTATAGTCTATGTGGACGACATTATTGTTACTGGAAATGATGATGAGGAGAGAAAGCAATTGAAGGCACACTTGGCACAAGAATTTGAAATAAAAGACTTAGGCAGGTTAAGATATTTCTTAGGCATGGAAATTGCAAGAAATCACACTGAACTGTCTGTGTCACAACGAAAGTATACTTTAGATCTCCTACAAGAAACTGTTATGCTTGGTTGTAGACCAATAGATGCTCCTATTGATCCTAATCAAAAATTGGGCTATAAAGAAGGAAGTATCCCTACTGATAAAGGCAAAAATATCAAAGGCTAGTGGGAAAGCTAATTTACCTATCACATACCACATCTGATAAAGCATTTGCAGTAAGTATGATCAGCCAATTTATGCATAGTCCAAGTGAAGAGTATCTAGAGGTGGTGTACAAGATATTAAGATATTTGAAAGGGACACCAGGAAAAGGACTAATATTCAAGAAACAAGATAATAGAAATTTGGAGTGCTACACTGACGCTGATTGGGCAGGTCAATTGATGATAGAAGGTATACTTCTCGGAATTGTACCTATTTATGGGAAAATCTTGTAACTTGGAGTAGTAAGAAGCAATCTATAGTTGCTCGAAGTAGTGCAGAGGCAGAATTCAGAGCCTTAGCTCTTGGGATATGTGAGATGTTATGGCTGAAACGAATGACTGAAGAATTGAAGGTTCAAATAATCCTTCCAGCCACATTGCATTCAGATAACAAAGCTGCCCTAGACATAGCACAAAATCCTATTCACCATGATAGGACTAAACACGTAGAGATTGACTGCCACTTTATAAAGGAGAAAATTGAAAATGGAAGTCTATCCATGTCTTATGTTCCAACAGCAAACCCAGCGGCTGATGTACTGACAAGAGAATAGCAAAGCAACAATTTGATTGGCTGATTGATAAACTAGGAATGAAAAATATCTTAAAATCTGCTTGAGAGGGAGTGTTGATAAGATTATTTGAATTTCCTATAAATCAGCTATATGGTTGATTTTGCACTATCTATCAGATATTATCTTCATGCTTCTTATTAAGATATTGTTAGAAAAGTGTAAATACTAATATGTTGTATTATATGTTTATCTGTTGATTACAACTATTAGATCCTAGTTTACAGCTAACAGTTTCAAGTAGTTAGGCAATGGACATATTATATATAGATGTACATGATCAATCCAGAAATTATTGGAATGAATGATATTTTTCCATACCTTAATTATCAAAATTCATGCTGTAAATACTCATCACCATTAATTAAATAAAAAAGTCCAAGAAATCAACTAAAAACTATCAGAAAATTCATAATAACTCCTCATTCTATCAAGAACTACCAAAACCACACTCAACCAGCGCACCTGCATGACCTCATCGAGCAATAGAACATGAGTAAATGGATCACGCTTCTTAGACAACACCCTCTGCAAGTGCCAAACTGCTACAACAGTGGAATGCAACTGGTCCATACAACCACTCATCCTTTGCCAAAGTCCCTCCTTTGCCTTTCCTCCACCCCCAATCTGCGGCGTACCATGCCTCTGCACTCCACCCGGCATCCCAGCCCCGTACGCCCCACCACCAGAAATTGCCTTCATATCCAATGCATTACTTATGCTCTTCAAGCCCGTTTGCTTATACTTACTTACCAACCCATCCACAGTTCCTCTCAACTCTCCCAAGTTATAAAATACTTGCAACCCTAACCCCACCTCCGCTTGGTTCAAATTCTCCAATCCCTTCTCCAATACTTTCATCCCCTCGGCTCGAATTTTTGACCCTGTCTCAATTACCCATTTTAACTCCGAATCAATCGCATCAATCCCTGATAAATGGGACTCATTATACAGCGTTAAGATATCAAAATGCAACTGCGCTGCCTTAGAAAGATCCCACTTTTCCGGTTCGGGTTGGGAATTAACAAGATTCTGGAGCTTCTGAACCAGTCGAAGAGTACGAAGTGTGGACTGGAGAAGGAGAGAGGTAGAATGTAAATTATTGAGCTGGAGGGTCTGTGCAGCAATCAAGCGGTGGGGATCGGAGAGTTCAGCGCGAGCTTGGCGGAGAGAGGACTGAAGAGACGAAAGAGAGGAGCGGAGAGAGGAGAGGGAGGATTCCGAGGCTTTGAGGGAAGAGAGCTGGTTAAGGAGGTCCTGGTGGCGGGAGAGGACCTCGTGGCGGAGCTGGGTATCGAGGAGACGAAGGCCTTCCTGGAGCTTTTCAATACGGGAGGCAGCGGAGCCGGAGGATAGAACAGCGGAGGAGAATTGGGCGGGATTGAAATCAGGGGAGAGGAAAGCAGAGAAAATTGGGTCAGTGGTGAAGGTGTCCAGGGCGGATGGCGTAGGGGGGAGGCGTGCTGAAGTAGGGAAGGTGGTGAGAATGGAATTGGCATTTCCAGTGGCAGTGGTGGGAGTGGTAGTGGCCGTGGACGGAGAGTTCTTGAAGGTGGAGAGGCGTTGGAGCGGGGATCTGGGAATTGTAGGAGAAGCCATGATCTATGCCAGTGTGCAGATCAGAACGTGGTGGTGGTACGTTTTAGTCTTTTAGACAGGTTAAAGATGCGAAAGGCCATGAAATTTTATTTCCGCTCATTTTAGTCATTGAACTTTAAAATATATTCAAATTATTACTAAATTTTAACACATTGCACTTCACTTACTCGTTATGTTTCATAGGTTACTAAGGGGCTGTCTGGGCATGCTATATAGCAAAATTGGGACCGTTGAGAATAAAAAAATGGTCCGTTGGACAGTTGTTTAATGGAAAAAGGCTCACAATTTTGCAGACTAACAACAGGCATTTTACCTTCATTTTTTCAACATTGCCCTCCTCATTGAATGCTCAATCACCAACACCTTTCTCTCTCCCTTCTTTTTCCACATACTCATCGGAAAATGCATATTTCTTTCCTCACAACCAGCTGATAAATTAGTTCCAGATCTGATCGCAATTTTTTTCCCTACGTCAATTAGCGATTTCGACAGCACATAGTTGACTTCTTCTTTCGGACTATTATATTTCTCCTCGTCGACGGGGACAATTGTTTGTACAAGACAGACGTCGACTGCACCCGTCTGCCAATCACCGCTTGGTCGCTTACACCAGGGATCCATATCTCCCCTCGGTAAGTGACGAAGGTTCCATCATTTTTTTGTATACGATCACACAGTCGAAGATGTGCAGGACAAGGTTCGTCATTTTGAAGATAGTGGACACGAAAACCTACATGACATTCATCCACTTAGCGAGGAGAGCAGCGGGTCAAGTGATGAGAGTGAGAGAACGGATAAGGCTGCTTCCACCATGGACGGCTCGAGGGCACGAAGCGGGGACAAACGTACATCTGGCAAGAAGAACAAAAACGAGAAGAGAGCAAAAATATCCACGACGAATTTATCCGAATTTGTTCAATAGGCTGCCTCTGCTAGTGAAGCACTAGCAGCTAAAATCAACAGCTTGGTTGGTCCTGCTGTGCCGACTGCAAATACGCTCATGACAGAGTTGCTGTCAACAAGCCGACTCGAAAAAAACTAATATGTAATTATGGACGTTATCGTTCCTGTCACTGAGGTAAAATCGGGAGGTACTTGCAATGCAGGAAAACACAAATGACAAATTTGATTGGGTTGAGTGGAACTGATAGAAGTACAGGATGGCCCACCTGAAGTGAAAAATGTGAAACGAAATGTTGTGTTTTCCGTTACAACCGTATTACGTAGACCCCTTGTACATTTATTTTCATGTTTTTTTATGTTTTCGTATAAGGCATGTGTATGCGAACACTGTTGGACTATACTATTACTACTGCTATTATGCACTCATATCTGTACTTCAGATTTCGTTGTACTTTCAAAATTTTTATTCAGCCCTATTGCCCTATCACTCCAGTTGTTGACATGGTAATTATACATTACGTTTTTGCAAGAATCATGCTAAAGCACTTTCAAATCATACACTGTCCATCAATTGATTCAAGAATTTATTTTTTTTAATTGGCAACAGGTTCATGTGTTGCTACGAGACCATAAATTGTATCTATAAAAGAGACCTTTTAACCAATCTCTCCCATTCTATAAAATTAACTTCCAAGGAATGCAATTGGGGTATTCTTTTTCTTCAACTTAAACTCAAAGGACGTGAGGCAATATCTTTGCAAGTACTAAGTGGAATGGTGCATACATTCGATTTCAACTGTGTGCTTCTACCGTCTTCTGATGGTGAAGGCGAGATAGGAGAAGAGGAATTTCTGCAAGAGCTTGAAGAGGACATTGTCCAATGGAATCGATACTGTCAAATGTCAGAAGTAGATGCGGCAACCTACTATCGCAAACAGAGACGTCGAATAAGAAGATTCATGTTCACAAGGAATGGACACATGTTTATGCTGGATGCCATGTAATCCGAAACAGTGTTATGCCGAAGTCAGGATGTATCCCGCCATGCTGGGTACGTTCACGCATATACTTCATGACGAATACGGACTACATAGTGGCCAGCAAGTTGATGTGTATGAACAAGTTGGGATGTTTTGTGTATATTAGCGCACGAAAAAGGCTACAGACAAGTTTGAACGCTATTCAATCATTCTTTGGAAACTAATCCCGAACGGTGTCATGCCAAATTCAGGATGTATCCCACCATGTTGCTTACATTCACGCATATACTTCGTGACGAATACGAACTACATAGTGGCCAGCAAGCTCATGTGTATGAACAAGTTGGGACGTTTTGTGTATATTAGAGCACGAAAAAGGCTACAAATAGGTTCGAACGCTATTCAATCATTCTTTGGAAACTATTGCACACTACTTTAAAGTTGTACTTGGAGCTACATGCGAATTGGGTTTATCTCACATCAAACCTGACCCAAACTACAATCATTGTGTAGAGCATCACGTACCAAATTTGAACAAGCATCCATTGTTCGAGAATTATAGGTGCGACTGACGGAACGCATGTCAAAGCTATTTTGCCACGGACGAACGAGTCAATTTCATTGGACGCAAGGGCATTCCAACACAGAATGTTATGGCAGCATATAATTTCAATTTATGTTTCACATTTGTGCATGCAGGGTGGACGGGAACCACGCATGATTCATGCATGTTGGCTCGATCTGTACATAGTCCTGAAATTGATTTCCCGCATCCTGCCCTAAGAAAATATTATCTTGTCGACTCGAGATTCGCCCATAGACCTGGGTACATGGCTTTGTATAAGGGTTCAAATATATTGTATCATTTTTAGCAGTTCTAAGATGGTCAGATTGGTCGCAGGTGAAACTTTCGCAGCGCGCGTGAGAGATTTAACTTCAAGCATTCGTCGTGCAAAAATGTCATCGAGCGTTCATTTGGTGTGTAGAAAAATCGATGGAAAATACTCGATCGTATGCCAAGTTACAATTTCAAAGTGCAGACTATCGTTGTCATAGCTACAATGGGCATACAAAACTTCCTTCGACGGGCTAGAGTTGTGAATGAAGCGTTCACAAGAGTAGAGACGGATCCCGATGCGGCGGAGGTAGAACTTCCTGACATACATGAGCAAACCGTTGCTGAATTTAATGCTCCAGAAATGCAACGAAATGAATGGGATCATTTTCACGATTATTTGGCTCAAAGTTAGTGAACATGTGTTCTTATAACAACGCTGTTCGCGTACAATAATATAGTACATTAATTTTCCACTTGTTTGTATCTTCGTTCGTTGTCATGCTTGTAGGATTCGAAAATGGAAATTAAGAGCTACGTGGTTTCGACATTTGACGTTCCTTCATTTTGCAATTTACGTCAAAAGTATTACGACCTTACAAACCTTCGTACAGTTAATTTTCTCGAAATTATTTTCAGTTATTGCCAATTTAAAAATGTCAGTGATTGTCACAAGTGTCGGACGAGTTTTCCCTTCTTGCACTTGATTGGTGGGCCCATGCACACACTATTGTGGCTTCAAAAAACGTGTAAACAATAAAGGCTGCCAGAATATTTACTTGGTCAAACTTTGTGTTCAATTGAGGAAAGAGAAAATGACTCCATACTAACCGGTTTGTGGGAGGGTAAAATGATCACTCTAATTTTCTATTGCAAGACCACGCAAGTAATCGGCTGACAGTGGGCCCCTATGATGTGATTGTAAAATTGATTCTAGTGGGGAGATAATTTCTACCAGACGGGATCTGAACTTTAAAATAGCTCTGAGTGATCATTGAATTTTTAACACTTTACACTCCATCACTCACCAATCATGTTTCATCAGTAAATGAACTTATATGTTCGTGAGGCTTTATTCAGTGAGTTTCAAAATACTTTCGAATTGGCAATAAATTTCATAATATTTTTGAGTAAAGTTGAATTTTTTCTGTGAGATTTGACCTAAATCAAAAAATAAAATAAATATCAAATAAATAGTGAGACTTTCAATCTAATATGAGAATATTGTTAATGATAAAAATATATATATATATATATATATAATTTTTGTAGTCATCAAAAGCTATGTTCAATGAAATAGAAGAACACTAGCTTCAAATTAATATAAATCTTAATTTAGATTATAATTTTCCTTTACATCAAGAAAATAAAATGCAGAAATTTTCGATTACAAGTCAATAACACTAATCATGACTAATAAAATATGATTTCTAGAGTTGTCACAAAAGTAAATAAAACGGATGTATAAGTTCAATAACTAATGGAACATGTTGAGTGAGTTGTATAGTTCAATATGTTAAATTTCAATTATCATTCGAAAGCATTTTAAAATTCCAGTGACTAAAAATATATGGTAAATGAGTAATGGAGTGCAATATGTTAAAATTCAATGACCATTTAGAAGCATTTAAATTTTAGTGAGTAAAGCGTGACGGATGTATAAGTTCAGCGACTAATGAAGCGTTTAACTCGTGTGAAAGGTTATGAATGTTGGATGCTAAAAAAATTAAGACTAGAATAGCAATATTTGCGAAGACCGAAACTAGAATTGTAAATTTTCCATACTTACAAGCCAAACATGTTATTATTAAATTAGCTTACAATTACCCCTAAATGGTTGCAAGTGCTGAAAATGGTTAAGGCACGGTAATGCCTTGTTTCCATGTTGATGCCAGGATTGAGATGTACTTGCAAAAATGTTGATAATCATTTGAGAACGAATGAGTTGGTAGTGCATGGACGAAGACATGGCACGGACGGAGCCTAGCATGAAATTCAGTATGTGGGTAAGTTTGAAGTTGGCTGGAATAAGTTCACTAATGTGGTTACGTTCACCATTTACATGTTAATGTATTAACATGTGCAAACAATTTTTACAAACAAGTTGGTTACCAGTTCGATAAGGGTAGTTTTCGAAGAGGTGTCAGCCATACGAATTTATAAATATTCAAGGCATGAGTATGTGCATTGTTGTGATTTATACCCAATTTTTTGAGTTGTCTTCATGTTGTGGTAATAAAAGTTGAGAAGTATTTTCCTGCACATGCTATGTTAATTTCTAATCCTTTCATAAAGTATTGCAAATCTTCATTACATAAAGAAATTTGAATGTCATTGGTTGTTGACTAAGTGATAAATTTAGGATGTGCTTGACTGCAAACATGAAATTTGCATGAAAAGAAAATAAATTATAGATAATTCAATTGCCTAAACTTATTTGTATGGAAATTAATAATTAAGTGTATTTAATTGATTTAATTTTCAACCTAAAAAATATTATACTTGTTCATTTTTTATTGGAGAGTAAATGAGAGAGTAGATAGATAAGAAAAAGTGAATTACCTGTAAAATAAAAATCACATCTTTCTAAAGAAAAATATTTTTCTCATTTTTTAAGAAAATATGGTCAAATGACTTACAGTTGAAAAATATTTTTCATGAAAAAATTGTCAATCAAACATCCCAAAAGTAGAAATTAGGGAAAATGTATTTTTTTTCCAACCAAATTTCTATTTTTTGTTGTTTAATTGCCATTTTTCCATAGAAAACATATTCCATGGGAAAAATGTGTTTTTTCCACCCAAAGAGCAGTGGACGTGGGTTTCCTATTTTTGGTTTTAGGGATGGGTGGGGAGGTTTGGGGAAGATGAATAGTATTTCTCCTTTTCCATTTTTTTATTTAATTGTTTTATTGTAAAATTTGTAAATATACCATTTTGCCCTTCATTTAATTTGTCAATTTGAGTGAAAATTTTAATATGAGTGTTGACCAACGGAATCTTGGACAGAACATGTTATATGGACTTCAGCTATGATCAAAGTAAAAGGGTTTGGGATTGCTACCATAAAAATAAATGGTTAAGGTATAGTTTGCAACAAATTGAAAGGTATAGGACCTCTGTTGCAATTTTTCTTATTAAATTCATGCTTGCACACACAAATATGCTAGGCTGCATTCCGAGTGGTCACCGAATCTACCTGGAAAATTTTAATTTTGGATTTAATAGTAAAGTTCAATTATCCCTCGAAAGCATTTTAAAGTTCAACAAGTAAAGTGTTACAGAGGTATGGTTCAATAGCTAATGAAATATGATGAGTGGGTCATGAAGTTTATCGTGTTAAAGTTTACTGAAAATTCAAAAGCATTTTAAAGTTGAGTAATTTATGAAACATGGTAAATGAATAATGAAGTACAATGTGTTAAAGTTCAGTTACCACTTGGAAGCATTTTAAAGTTCAGTGAGTAAACCGTGACGGATGTATCAGTTATGTGACTAACGAAACATTTAACTTGTTGAATCTTTAGGGATGCTTGTTTTATTTGTTTATTAGTTTAATGTTTTTTGAGATTATGTTAATATTCATTGTTTATGTTTGAATTGAGAAGTCAAAATGGATACTGCCATGCTATGCCACTGTAACGTCGCAGCCAGAAACTTCCTATTATGATTTCCTCGAAATTTAATCTGGCCTATTGCTGATTGCTAGGAGCATGCAATTGTCTTTTCCTTATCCAGTTTTATTATAGGTGTTTGTTTCATTAGAGTTCAGGAAACTGCAGTGATTTTCATTCTGCAGGTGTTTGTCCTAAGTCATGAAAATGGTCCTGCGAAGTGGCCATATCGACAGGGAGACATCTGAAAGCAAGACAGAAACGGATACTCAGTAGATTAATTTACTCTCTGCTTTGAGGAAGAAAGCTGTCAAAGAGGGAAAACAAGCTCTGAAGCTTGGTGTTTAAAACAAGTTTTATCAGTTGAAGAAAATGGTACTTCGTCAAATATTCAAGTCACCTGTGTCGAGTCGAAAGTTTCAATTGTGTATTTGGGCCATATGACGGGGTTTTAGAAATTTCTAACGACCATCTCTAAGTTTCACATCAAGCATGAATATATTGAAAATTATTTATCTTATAAATCGATTTTAAGGGCAATTGTGGTAGTGTATTTGCACGCTAAGTTGCATTTTTTTTTTTCATCACCAGCCAGCTTGCACAAGCATAATGTCCTTTCCCTTATCGTGTCTCAACATGGGCAGATTCGGGGGGGACTGGCCCCAAGTCCAATTCCCATTTTTTGTAGTAAAAATTAAATAAGTAAAAAAATTATGTGTAATTTATTAATACTTTTACGTATTAGTCCGACTTAAAAAAAAATTTTGGATCAATTCCTGTGTCTCAATATTCATCACACTAATTTGAAACAAAAGGACAGTGGGCAAAAGTTTTCTATAAAACAAATACAAAAATAAGTATGTTAAATGGTCTATATTTCATGGGATAAAGGAATTAAGAAATGAAGTTCGCCATAAAATTCGGAGGTAACTGTGTTGACGTGGACTGAAACGTGTAAATGCCAGTAGAAAATCTTCGCACGTGTTAAGCCATTGTCAGTTATGGTCAAATTATGGTGTCAGACCCGTGACCCCGTGCGTTACCCTTCTCCTCTCAAAAAGAAAACCGTAATTTTTGGGGCCAACTTTGCTCCACTGGTGAGAGGGGTTGATAGCTTTCTTGACCAAACACTCATAATAGGGGGATGGGAGCCACTATTTTTAATTTTTTTTATTAACATGGGCTTCATATGCAAATGAGAAGATGTCAAAACTTCAATCAACAATTTTCGATCAACCCAACCCAATTTTTTTTGGGACATTTCAATTTGACCACCCCACGATATATGTATAATAAAAGAGTAATATTAGTCATTGTTTGCGACTACAATAGTCATTTTATATAGCTCATGTTTGAGTCACATTCTAAGAAGAAAAATGCATTATTCATGTCAAATCAATGAAAAATGTATGGTTAAAGAATAAAGAAAAATTTTATATTTGAGTGTATATTATTTTATTGAAGAATGTGTGGTTGAAATAATGTCAAATTACTGTTGAAGAATGTATTTTTTTTTTTTGAAAATAATGTGGCTCAAACAAGCCCATAGTATCTTATAAGGCATAATTTTAATAATTAATAAATGAAAGAAAAATTTTAATAATAAAAAAGAAAACGAAAACAAAGAAATGTGTTTGTACAGATGATAGAAGATGTCACATAATACGACTATCATAGTCGTTGACTATAAAAAATATTATTCCTAATAAAAAGGATCGAACATGTAATGAAATTTTTATAGATGGGTTATAGGCGCTACAATTAATATGTGAATAAGTTTTTGATGATTTCATCAATACAATTATTAAAAATGAAAAAAATTAAATTGTTTATATTTCCTTTTAACAATTCCATTTTTTTCCTTTCCTTATAGCTTGTAATTAATTCAAAAAAGTGACCGCGAGAAAGATAATGATCGATGTGATACTTTTGTTTGATTGCCTCGAGTCGAAGCTTCTCATTTATTGATTTTGTCCAGCCTTAGGGAAGATTTTTCATATCTTTGTGAAAAACGACCTCTATATATTTGGCATGGGGATTCAACCTTTATTTATAAAAAGAAAAAAAGGATCATTTTCAATCAATCTAAAATTTTAAATATTTATTTTGGGATATTCTTTTGAATTATTAAAACTAATAATTTGTACAATTGTATGTGATCAAATAATTAAGGGGAGTGGAGTCTTACCTAACTTAATAATTATATCAAAACTATAGTTACAACTATTTCTTGATATTTCAAATAACTTAGTAGAGTTTTCTTCTATCCAATAAAAGAGAAAATATCTAGCCTAGTGTCATATTTGGCTAGGCTTAAATTATCCTCTTCAATAGAAGAGTTTTCTTCTTACTTTAAGGAAAACGTAAAGATTACTATCAAAACACATAACTTATTCATAACTTACTAACTCTAATTTTAAACCGAGAAAACAAATTATATTATTATTATTATTATTATTTTGTCTTTAGCCAACCTGTACTAGCCTATCACGACAAAGATTCAAGAAAAGTTGTATTCCATATGTATCAATCAAAGCATGCAGTATTCAAGTCATCACTATCTCTCTAGAAGTTAAGCCAAAAAAGCTAACCAAAGCTATCTCCAGCTATAGAACACTGTGTAACAAAGATCTTGAATAATTTCTTCTCCATTCCTATAATCTTCTTCAATATTTTCTCTATGTCTGATGACCAAAACAAGTATCCATATCAACCCTACAATTCTTTTCATCATGATCAGAATATGGTATCAGGGTTTTTGGGATCCAACCCTGTTGGATTTGACCCTTCTCATATGAGCTTCACTGATTTCTTTCATGAAACAGTGGATTACAACACTCTATCAAGAGCATTTGACATTTCTTGTTCATCATCTCATGCTGTTAATTATCCTGCAAATGATACTTGTAATTCAAAGAAAAATATCAGCGTTAGAGAGGCAGCAGGAGAGATTAATGAAAATCCATTGACGCCGAATTCAGCTGAGTCATCGTCTTCTTCTGCGGCTGGAGGTGAAGAGGAATCCTCCAAAAGCAAGGAAGATCCGCCGAAAAAAGTGTGTGACGATGGAGATGAAAAGTGTAAAAAAGTGTAGGTTTTTTAGGTTTTTCTTGAATTTTTTGACAATTAGGACAATTAATTACTATCAAGGTGGACTTATTTATCCTTGCAAGTTTTCAATTAACTAATAATTGCACTTATTTGCCAAACAGATAAAAAATAGTAAGATGGTTTTATATATTTTCTACTTAATTTTATGTCCCTCTTTTCATATCTAGAAATTGATACTTATTTGTGTGTGAAATGAAACCCTAATTTTCTCAAGCACTGTCATTTTTTGTCCAGTGTTCGAGAAATTTCGTGCGGATAATATAATTATTGATATGGAATCAAAATTAATTCTAGTTCATGGAATCAATTTTTAAGAACCGATTTGATTAATTAATGCTATTTAATTAATTTTCAGGAACAAACCAATACAGAAAGTGGAGAAAAAGAAAAGAGAACCGCGTTTTGCCTTCAAGACGAAGAGTGAAATTGATAATCTTGAAGATGGTTATAGATGGAGGAAATATGGCCAGAAAGCAGTGAAAAATAGTCCTTTTCCAAGGTTATTATCTGTATTTAATTTCCTGCGCATGATAAATTTTGCACCTGCAGTACAATGTAAAATAATTGATTAGTATCAAATTAACTTATTTTTCAAGTTTGTTGGCTGAAGAATGTCAAAAAAAAAAAAAATTATGTTGAATTAACCTATAGTTTTCATCAAAGAAATAAGAAAAATTAATATAGATCGAGAAGCACGTAATCTGTTTAAATTAACCCGATCTCCTCATTAATTGTTGTAGGAGTTATTATAGATGCACAGCTCAAAAGTGCACTGTGAAGAAAAGAATTGAAAGATCATTTCAAGATCCATCAGTGGTGATCACCACCTATGAGAGCCAGCACAACCACCACAGTCCGGCCATGCTCCGCGGCCGGGCCACCGACATGGTGGCACCTCCGCTGCAGCCCAAAATCCCGAGTTTTCAGCAGGACTATACCTCTTCTCAAATGATACCAACAAGTAACCAAAACCACGCAAATTCCATGTTTTATAATAACCTTAATCCTCAGCAGCACCACCAACTTCCTGAATATAATTTTATGCCTGACATGTTTCCCTCATTTGCTCACAAAGAGGATACATGAATTCTGTCTTTCTCTAAGTTTTTTGTGTGTTTATTGTATCTAAACTTGCACGATGAATTCCTAGATCGATTTAAAGTGTATGGATCAATTCTCTTCTTCTTGCTGTCAAAGAAAAAACTACTCTCAACATTGTATTTACTGGTGAATGTAGAGTACTACGCTAGTTAGTTCCAATTTGGGAAATGAAACTACTTTTAAACCACTCTACTGAAAGCTAAGTTGTTGAGAAGGGATGTAGTTATTTACTTCTAATGATCATGAACAAGGTCTCTAATGTGCAGGCAACATTTATGTTTACATTTCATAAACGGCCGGTAAGGGAACTTGGACACTGTTTTGCTCTGGTACCATGTTGATAATGGACCTTAAAATATGTACATCAGATTTTACATAAGAGATTATATAATGTTTACATGACATTATATCATTTGTCAGTTTTTCATTCAATCTTTTCCCTCCACATCATTTTCTATAATCGCTTATGTACTATTTTTATGTACAATTAGTAGCAAAATTCGTTGATAACTACCTCATTTAAAGCTTAAGCTATTAGTGTAGGGACATTATAGTTACTTAAATTTTGTCTAGAACAGCAATGGATAAGAGGGGATGGAGGTGATTAAGAAAATTGTCAATACTTGGGACCAGATATATCTGTCATATACCAAGATGGGAAGTTCAATTTGAAATCCTTTTTCATTTCAGTTTCTTGCATTAATTGTTCCTTTTTTTTTTTAAGGTTTTCTATTTTTGTTTACTATTCTTTTTCTTGCGGCTTCCCTACTTAGGAGGGTCCTTATAGAAAACACAATGGCAAAGGCGTCACTACCAGAGCAGCCACACCATACTCTCTTGATTGAGAGAAAGTGAGGCGTATACCTTGTAAACATTGTGCGTTGCCAGAGGACATTGTAAATGCTATTTTAGTGTTGGCATTACAAGAAAAGTGACTATTTGTAACATGCATAATGAGTTGTCGTAGGTCTTTAGCAACGTGTACCCATTAATGTACATTGCTAAGATTGAAAGCATGCTGTCATTAATATTTTAGTAAGGTGCAAGTGAGACATGTCTATTGTCATATGGGCTAATACTCTTTCAGCAATTAAGAATTTCCAAATGTCCTCAAGCTCAAGGAGACTCAGTCACTTTCAGCTTACTCCTGCGTTGTTCAAAACAAGAGCTCAAAGCCTCAATTTGTCAAGGTGTTTTAAATTAAAAATTTGTGAAGACCTGCCTAACTTTTTGTGGTTTTCTAAGAACTTTTGCAAGAACAAAATGACATATATTTCAAAGTGCTTTATCCTGGCAACTAAGGAACTTAGACCCACATCATTGTCTCACCAAAGAACTGATTGTCGAGGAACGTGTATCCCAATCACTTCTTCTTAGTCATATTTTCTTGTGGGGAGATCTTAAACTTCTAAAAACTAGAACAATTAGAGAGAAGATTTATTTATTTATTTATTTATTTGAGTTCACATAAGTATATAATTTTTATAAATAAGTAGTACTAACTCTATTTGCTGCTCCACTATCATATTTAACAACTTAACATGATGATTAAAGATGAGGCACATTTATGTATTTAAATTTACTTTTTGTCAAGATTCTTCCTCAATTATCGTCATTTAGCCGTAAAATTTATCATGGACAATTATTTTAGTTTGCATAATTTACGGAGAGATTTGAATCCTGGACATTTGAGTCAAGTCAATATCGATGTTGTGCTTTAAGAGTCCATTCATCTAGTACTTTTATCATGCTTGGTTCAGCCGGCGGGCCGTCATTGTTACACTTGTGGGCATGCATAAGAATGTGTTATGAGGTTTGAGTGATATCCTAAGTTTTCATAAAGAAATAATAATTACAAATTATGCAAATTTTGAAATGAAACATTTGATATAGATCAATAAGTGATTTTTGTCTCCAATCAAAAAAAAATTCATACTATAGAGAAACATGCGTGACAAAATACGAGATGAGGGACCATGCACTCAAGCAAGGTTCAATTCCTTTTCTTTTTTGTTTTACAAATGAAAACAAAAAGACTGGCTTATGTAGCCTGACATTGTTGACAGTATTGGTATCTTTTTTAAAGAGTTTTAGTTAGGTCGAAAGAGCATCAACAATATAATGTGGTCTCAAATGAACTGACATCGATTTGATCCAAGTGCAAAAAAGGAGAAAATTTTAAAGTTGCTAAGCCTCTGTTTAAGTTTGATAGAAATCAGATTTTTATTATATTTTGATAAAATTAATGAAATATGTGATTAAAAAGTTGTGAATTCATTGAAATGTATGATTAAAATTAACTTTGAAAAAAACATTTAAAAATGAGGTCAAATAGGGACTGTGTGTGCTACAAAATGATTTATTATTAGATTATCTTCATAAGATCTTTATTTAGGACAATTTAGCGTTAGAATCTTGTCAAAGATACTGAATGAAAGAGACTGGATACCAAATAAGTAGAAAAGGCATAATCTTAACTGGGTTTAAAGAATTTTTTTTTTTTTTCCGATTTTACCAACTTTAGAATAATCAAAAATCTCTTCTTAATTTACATTTTTTCAATTATTTTCTCATCAAATCTTCTATATACAGAAGAAAATATATGTAAAGCAAGATTAATCGATCAAATTCATGCAATTAGACGGAAAAAATAAGTTGTTGCATGCATTTACATGTTTCAATCACATTGTTAGTTCAGCATTTTACTTTCCTCGAAACTGCATCAAACGTGGTATAAAAAGGGAGATCAATTAATGTCAATGAAATCTAATATAAGGAAAGAATGAATCAATCATTCTATAACTAATCCATGCGCATAATTACATGATATGACCCTAATTCAAAGAACTACTTGTAGAACACAAGAGCTAAGAGCAATGGCACTGAGTTCTGGTTTCGGAATTGTTCTTACATTTTTCTTTCTTTTTCGCGTTTTTGAAGCTAACGATACTGCTTTACCACCAAAGTTCTTCAATGTGTTGGACTATGGTGCTGTTGCAGATGGAAAGACGGATAATTCTGAGGTAAACCTTGGTAACTAATTGTAGAAAGGGGATGAACGGTATTATAAACAAGATTTTATTGTGTTCTAAACAGGCATTTAACGTGACATTTTTGAATTTTCTTGATTAGGCATTTCTCGAAGCATGGAAATATGCGTGTGAATATGATGGAAGAAGTGGGGTTGTAGTCCCTCTTGGGACGTTTATGCTGGGATCTGTCACCTTCCAAGGATTGTGCAAGGGATCTATGGAGTTTTTAATTAAAGGGACTCTTCAGGCCCCGACAGACAGTTCGAAGTTTTTCACTGACACCTGGATTGGTTTTCAATATCTCGACGATTTGACTGTGGAAGGTGGTGGATCGTTGGATGGCCAAGGATCTGCTGCTTGGGGTTTTAATGATTGTGCAGAGAATTCAAAATGTTCACCTCTACCAGCTGTAAGTTTGTCACTAACAATTCTTGTTATTTCATCATTATTTGCATCATTTCACGGAATAAATCATTTGCATTTGCAGACATTGAGGTTCAACTTTGTGAACAATTCAAGAATCCAGAATGTACAATCAATCAATAGCAAAAATGCTCATTTCAACCTTTTCGCCTGCAATAACATGAACATCAGCCATGTTAAAGTAATGGCGCCAGCCAACAGCCCCAACACCGACGGCATCCACATTGGTAGCTCTCAAAAAATCCAGATCTCTCAGTCGACTATTGGAACCGGGGACGATTGCATAGCCATGATTGCTGGCAGTCAAAATATTGACATCTTCGACGTTATTTGTGGGCCCGGACATGGCATCAGTGTTGGAAGCCTTGGAAGAGACCATGAGAATGATTATGTGCAAGGATTAAGCATAAGAAATTGCACATTTACAGGGACTGAAAATGGAGTGAGAATTAAAACATGGTCGCCATCTTTAAACAGTTTAGCTTCTGATATGAGATTTGAGGACATTTTCATGCAAAATGCTAGCAACCCTATTATTATTGATCAAGACTATTGCCCACGTTCTCCTTGCACTCCCGAGGCAAAAACAAATTCCCTTTTCATTATCTTCTCTCTTTTTCAAGGCATGTTCGATATTGAATAGGATCATGCTTTACGAACTTGCTACTTGTTAACGACGTTTATATTTTTTAATATAGGGTCAATCGATATCGGGAGTTCAGATAAAGAATGTGACATTCAAAAACATTTGGGGCACTTCGAGTTCAAAGATTGCAGTGAATTTAGAGTGCAGTAAAAGAGTGCCTTGTCAGAAAATCGAGTTTGTAGACATAAATTTGGTTCACAGTGGACCAGATGGACCTGCAACTTCTCGGTGTGCTAATGTCATTGATTCTTCTTATGCCAAGCAGATGCCGCCTGGTTGTGTATAGGAGTTTAATTTGCTTTCTTTTCAGAACTACGGTATTACCATAGGTTTATGATCCATATATGGCCCAGAAAAGTTGGTCATCATATTGAGAATTTTCTGGATTTTAGCTTGGATTATGCTCCACTGGACCATAATGGATATGATTTGAGTGTTTGTTTGGTAAAACTTCGTTAAAAATTTACTATCTTTTCAATTGGTTACACATTTCATGGGATCCACAACTTCTATTATCTTTTCAACCAAATATTTCAATAACTTTTATCAAAAGCTTTGTCACGTAGTTGTACAATCAAAACCCTCGTAAAATGCAAAATCATATCCATAAAAAGTTTCCTGTCAAAAAGAAATACATCGTTAGAAGGCAGGTTTTTTCTCGTTGAACCATCCTTATTATCATGCCCGAACGTGGCAGCCTAGGATTCTGCTATCGGATTAGCCAAGCTGAAACAAATTCTTCCTCCCTGCAGAACAAATAATACAACAGCCGAAAGTTGGACTAGAAAAAAATTGTTCTGAATAATCAGAGTGATCATAGGCAAGAAGAGATACCTCTTTGGACAAACTTCTCAGCACCTATTGATGACATTTGGCTGACAGGTTAGCTAAATAGAAGAATAATATTATAGGAGAAATTAACCCGGAGAAGATTTACTATAAATGCATCTTATTTCAGTTGATATGGACAAAATTTTCACCACTCTTTGTAGTTTTTCTGACTTGGGCATGAGTCTCTGCTTCATGCTGAAACATCCTTACAAGGTCTTGAAGCTCCAATTTCCTCACCTCAACCTTCTCTTCAGTTTGTGGCTTTTTCAATCCCAGATAGATCAGCCCAGTAGCTATTAGCACAATTCCTAAAAGGAAGAGGGAACTGGAAAATAGAGCAAATGCATACGGGGACCCTTCGGCTCCAGGTATTCCATCCAAATTTGTTCCAAAGAGTCCAGCAATGATGGAAAGAACAAGGCCACAACCTCCAAAAACTCCCAGGTTGTGTTGCACATGGAGGCTCTGATCCTGTTACAAATTTTTGAAGGCGAGGTTGAAACTTGTCGATAAGCATGGACTCCAGAACTCATTGTAGTAATGCAGTAAAAATCATGGATATACAAAAATAATCCACATCGTAAAGGAGTAGAGATATGGGTGTTCATATGCTCATGGCTCAATGGGAGCCGTGGTAGTTACCCTTTATGTCGTGTTGCCACAGGGAACCGATAATTTACTTCAAGAGAAGTTATAACAATTATATTTTGGTGAGGAAAAAATATTACAGGGTAAAATATATACAGCAGGCATAGAATTGAAGGTTGGAGCAGCAATCTATATCCACTCACTTCAAGTGCAAATTCTATATGGAGTTTATGACGTGGACCAAAAACAGTCTTACATTTATCACACTGATCATCAAGCAGCAAGACTTAGCTCTTCATTTCCAGAGAAAACAAGAGTTTTTTTATTTTTTATTTTTAATTACCATCACAGTCCCGCTATGTTTTTAGGCTCCAGTAAGATGTGACATAGGGAATTAGGGAAAATAAATGATTACAATGAAAGGGAGCATATACCTAACCTCCAATTATAGGAATAAAAACTGGAGGTACTACCTCCTGTACAAATGTGAAGAAAGAAACAAACCTAAAGGACTCTTAAAAGTGGGAAGCCCATGTGAGAAAACAAGAGATCTAAAGATTCAATACACAGTTAAAGGGTGATATCGACTTAATAAACTTGTGTCGTGAAGTCTTAACCTCATCCTTGTATATAATATAAGTCCTTATACTGAATACTAATGTAAAAATACAAAACTAAGCTATGACTTCAACAAGGAGAACGAAACTGATAGATATCTAACATGAAAATTCACTTTAACCATATAATCTCCATTGCTATATCTTAGCTGGAAAAACCTTACCTATTAGTTTCACTCAAGCTGATTTTATGCATCAGTCTTGTTTTTCTCACAGTTTAATCCATGCTTGTTTCTGCCTTCCCCATTTTTTTTCTAGATTTTCATCTTGGACGTAAAAAGCCTTCTCATGGAACCTAGCATGAGCTTGGTAAATCTATAATAAATCTCCTAATCTCTGCCTTCAAATCACTAAACTTCTAGGTTCTCAATTCTCGTAAATAACTAATATATTAATCTATCATTTCTAGCATCGACCCTATGCTAATATTCTCATTATGGCATTCTGAGAAAATTCTGATTTGGGCATACGAAGTATTTTGAAACACACAACAGTAACAAGAATGACATTTCACACATGATTCACCCAACTAATACATTACAAATTGGAAGTTTACAAAACTCAACTTGTTAAAGGGTATTATTAGACTTCACATGATATATATTTGGAAATTACAATTTCCAAATATAACTAACAAACAAAAGTCTCTATGGACAGAAATCGCAAAATGACTAATACCCCAACCATAAAAATAAATGGAGACAACAGACAGGACACGTAATGTATAAAAAGGTATAACACTTCATAACGTAATTCCAGGTAGAGTGCTACTCAATGTGAGGTAACCAATTTCATATTTTATTCGACATTATAAAATAATAATAAAATGCTAATGAATTTTTTTCATGCAAATTTTAGTTGAATGATTTCATCATTTTTTATGTAATGATTCTTGGTAGCTAATGGATGTGACTATCATTGTTGGTCATTTAGTTGTAATTTGAGTTAAGTTTGAAGGCTATAATTAAACTAGTTGCTATAGTAGAGCTCTAAAGAAGATTTATAATCTCAAAATATTTCTTATTTCATTTGCATTAAGAATTCTAAATCTTCCAGTCCCACTTCTACAAGTGTCAGTATGTAGAAAATGCAGAAAGACTCGTGGATCTACACAACTACACTAAACATTGACACAAAATCTAAGAGGTATTTGACTCAAAAACAAACTTCCAAAGAATCTGAATTTGAGAAGGTGAAAAGCAATAATTCCAACAGAATCACTTCCATTTTGATAGTTTGCTTTAATAGTTAATAGAGTTAGGTTTTGGTTAAGATGAATGATATTAATTTGTGTAATAGAAGTTTAAAGAAATCTGCAATAACTTTTTATAATCTTTTGGCATGTTCAACATTATAAGTACCCAAGTTATGAAACATGAAGTGTTATAGAATGTTGAATAAGACTCCCCATCTATTAGATAGAGAAGATCACCAAGATTTCGTGATTCGCTGCTGTATGACCGGCATAACATCTACGATTGGATGCAGCTAAGGCATCCTAACAGACCGGTAGACTTTCAAATTGGTCAAGGTTCTCTAGTTTATGGCCGTTGACCCTATTATTTTGAGGTCGAATCTGAGAGGGCTTAGTTGATCCATGATTTACGTTTCATCTTTCGTTTCATTTTCATTTGTTTCGAGAAATCTCGTAATGAAGGACGTGATCTTGCTTCTGAGGGTAATGTAATTATCCGTGAGGCTAGCAAATGGAGATCCACTTCACATCAATAACTCGGCCCCTATCACCTATAGGTAGTTTTAAACAAGTTTTGCTCCCATTGGACCATTTGTATCTATATACATCAGGATCCTGATTCATGGATTTCTCGGTTCGAACAACTGCTTCAAATATAGTATCAGGAAGTAATGCTTGTGGAACCTCAATATCCACGGGCTTATTAGCTAAATGGGAGCGAAACAATCAACCTATTGATATTGGAAGACGGTGTGGATCACTTTAATTGGCATAGTTGCAATTTGTGTACTTTTCTATGACCATCTAATGGAATATGTTTATAAGAGCAAGTAGATTCTAGGTATATTGTAGGTGAAGAGGCAGCAACACCTCCTTCCAAAATTTCAATGACTATATTAGAATGAATATTTGTGTAGCACTTTAGAGTTCAAATGAACTTTACCATCTTGAGCTTGAGAAGCAAATTAAAGGATATTTTTGCAATAATGGCCGTAAAGGGTCTGCTCTAGAGTTAGATGTAATAAAAGTAGGACTCATAACTACAAGGTACACTCCTGATTCATGTGAAACTACCAGTGCATTCATTTTCTGATACCTTTTCCATGTGATCAGTTGAATCATTCTCTAAACAATAGAGGGCAACCATATTGCTAAACAGTTAATCCTTCTCTAAACAATTCAACGAGAAGCTATATATTAGATACTCTAAAACATAATAATACAACTTCTCTTCCTGGCAGCTAAACAAGTGCATTAATCTTCTGCACCATTACGGAAAGGTTATTATGAAAATGACCAAGGATTCAGGAAATTACCTTTTGTTCCATCACCTTTTAAAAATTTGATCTAGACTGTGGAATAAACAACCAAGAAGTAAACCTTTTATACTTATCAATATCATCTATATCTTTCACAAGAAACTGTCTTTTTTACTTTGAGTAGAGAGAAGCTTATGGCACCTGTAAACATGCACGAACAGTACTCTGCATAACATCTTGTATTGTAAACAAGCGACCGCGAACTGCTTCTTGCTCTTGAATCATGGCCCTTGTACTCTTTCTTATTCCTTCAAGCAAACTCCTTGCTGCATTCCCTCTTAGATGTTGCAGAAGTTCAAAAACGATCTCCTCTCTTGCATGTAAAGACCATTTCACTCTTATAACCTGTAAGAAAAAAGGTAAGCATCAAATTGTTTTTACATTGTAGCGTGAGATGTATTCTGTTAAAAAAGAATCATCATGTGATATTGAAAAAAAGCTGTTTAAATAGAAAAATGAAAATAACAAAAACACTAGGGAGATGGTCGAATTCTTTGTCAGAAATAAAGTTCAAAAATACAAAACAACCAAGCTATAAGAAGGGTATTAGCAACACAGAGGCAAATAATTCCAATTTGCAAGAGTTCAATAGAAAGGTTAAAGATTCTTAATGGTAAAAAATATAACCTTTATAGAAGTTTCAGTAGTTATTACTACAATCAATCAGTATGATCAATGCAGAATATAGTTGAAGTTACAAATGATATTGAAATCAGACACTAAATCACGACGAATCTCTTTATTCAATTATTTATTTTGTTTTTGTGCAATACTAGAGGTCAGAAATCAGTTGTTTCTGATGATGAAAATAGCACTTGGTTGCAATTCATGAATATCCCAAATGTTGGAAACCTTAGAAGACGTCAATATCTGATAGTGCATCTCAGTTTCAAGTGGTAATCAATCAGTTATTTTTTGTTTCCTTCTTTTCACAATGTGATCAAACTAGCCAGAACTAAACTTTAGTGACCACCATTCAGTATCAGAATTTCAAAAGCATCAATGTAATGTATGATCGATATTAGTTCTCCGATAATCTTCCAAAGTTTTTTGTCAACAGATTTGTCAAAGTAGATATCTGTTTCTGAAATTAATGGATTCATCCATGACTATCAGAATGGAAAAGGAAAAAGAAGCAATTTAATATAAATCCAAAGAAATGCAGCGTTTCCTCACCCGGAAAATTTACTTTTCAAGCAACCATGAAAATTTACCTGGGTTGATAGACTTCTAATTTCATGGTTCAAAATAATACCAAACAAATGCATGTCCTCATGAGTTCTCCTACAGAAAATCAAGAACAATTTCACAATGATTAATAAGTTGACAAAATTGAGCAGAGTAAAGTAGAAATTTTCTCATTAAAATGGCATAGTCTAGAAAGGGAAAAGTCACCTGTCCATAAACTTCAACTCGATTTCATCTGCCGCCCCAAATATGTATTTACGAAACAACCTGGGAACATTATGTATAGGGTATCTTACTAAACAGATTAAAAAATAAATAAAAATTTACCTATATGGATTTCAAGGATAGATACAGTTCATAAATTGGAGATCCAGCATAAGATTTTCACTTACTGATGCACTGCAGCTAATGCAACTTGACAAAGGAAACTACTTGGAGACAAAGGATAGAATATAACTAAAATACAAGATAAGGCACATAATAATTCAAGGAACGGAGGTAAAAATCCTCTATGAAAGGAGGACTGTAAGCTGCTACTGCTGCTGAAGTAAGGAATTAGAGAAAAGTTCATTAGAAGTAACCAGCGTTCTGTAAATTTTTGAACCAAATCACCACCATCAAACAGAAATCATTTTATCACAGCATGACCCCTAGTTCAAGTATGATCATTCATACTTAGCTCACCCAACTTCAGTTTGATCTGGGTTGTTAACAATTGCTCGGAGTTAAGTTCCACAAACTTTATGAACTATATTGGATAAAGAAAATCTATCTCAACTTTGGGCATTTTATTAGGATCACCATCCTCGAACTTCAGAAGAGCTGATATCACTTCGCTACCTACCTACCTCCCATCCAACATCTCTCTCTCTCTACTTGTAAAAGCATATACATGAAAGCGGCATATATGAATTTCATCGACATTACAAACAATATGATAAATCTGGAGTAGGTACCAAAAGGATTTCTAATGAAATGAAGATCTTCAAGGACCCAGAATTTTTCAGTAGTTAGCCAGTTAACAACTCAAATTATAATGTCTCCATAGAAGAGTTCTACTTCAGTGATACATTCTCTGATGCTCTGACTTTTCAAAATAGTCAGAGTACCGTGTCGGACACAACATAACTTGGATATGGGTATACAATTTTGTGTCGGATCCTCCAAGTTTCAATCAGACACTTTGTTGTTTTTGCTTCTTCTGCTTTTCTCCTTTCCCTTTTCTGCTCTCTATGCACCTAGCGTCTCCATCGAGAGGGTGGAGAAAGGTAGTGGCACTAAGTTTTCCCTTTCTTCTTCTTTCTTCTATTTCCATTTCCATTTTCTTTTTTTCCTTCTTTCCTTCTTTGTATCGGTAGTTAAGGATTTTGTTTGTATGAAATGAAAATGGGTTTCATGTAGTGCTATTTAGTTCTCCACTAAGTCCAAATTGCAATCAAGTCCATTATTTGCTATTTTATATAACATTTAGTAATGTTCATAATTGAAACTAAACCCTAAAATTTTATTTTATTCGTCTTAACTCTTTATTCAATATCTATTTCCTTCTTTGTCAATAATTGATTTTAGATTATTCAAAATGATATTTTGGATTAATAAAAAAATTGAAGTTTGGAAAATGTACCCACGTACCAGTGTCCGAAATTTGGACTCTTTTTAGTCATGATACAGTATTCTACATTTTAGAAAATAAAAGATCGGATACTTAGATACGTACCCTTACCCAATACCCCCCGTACCCAATACCAGTACCCGAGTCAGAGCGTCATAGAATAATTCTCAAGAAAGCTCATCATAAACTCATAGAAAGATGTCTTCCCCAACATAAGCATGAAATAAACAGGTATATGTAAAAATATTCTGACCAATGCCACACAACGTTCGCTTGTCAGTAAATATGCTTTCAATGATGTCACCAATGAAAGAATATTAGACGGCATAACTTCTTAAATATGAAGAATAATTTAGAAGAAAGTTTTTTTTTTCCTTTCTGAGGATATAGGTAGTTTGATTTTGAGCAATTTTAAACTACCGACAACAAACTAAGCCTCATTCCCACTAAAGATTGGAATCCTTAAGCTAAATGAAAATTTCTTGTTTATTTGATGATTTAGAGATGCTCTATCTTAGGTCCAGCATGAACAGACCATCATAATTAGTTATAAAAAGCAAAAACAAATTTTGAGCACTTTTAAACTACTGACAACAAACTAAGCCTCATTCCCCCTAAACATGGGAATCCTTAAGCTAAATGAAAATTTCTTGTTGATTTGATGATTTAGAGATGCTCTATCTTAGGTCCAGCATGAACAGACCATCATAATTAGTTATAAAAAGCAAAAACAAATTTTGAGCACTTTTAAACTACTGACAACAAACTAAGCCTCATTCCCCCTAAACATGGGAATCCTTAAGCTAAATGAAAATTTCTTGTTGATTTGATGATTTAGAGATGCTCTATCTTAGGTCCAGCATGAACAGACCATCATAATTAGTTAAAACAAGCAAAAACAATATAGAAAATTTCTCACCTGTCATCCCAGCGCGCAAGGCGACAAGCTAGAAGGGCTATAACCTCATGACTTGTCCGTGGAAGATTACTACCTCCAGCAGCAAGCAGTTCCTGATTCAAACAGTCCACTAAATTACTTCATCAAATATAGAAAATTTAAATATTTAACTAATTGGTTTCCCTAAAAAAAGAAGAAGAAGAAGAAGCGACATTGTGGCTACACTTTGTAGTTAATAATTGACAAACCTGGACTTCTGAGACACCTAATACATTAATGTTTGATGACGACCCTTTAGTATGCAATGCTGTCAACAAAAAGTTTTGTGCTTGCCAAGATCGTATAACGACAGGGATATCATCTTCAACATCAGGGTCACCCACTGACTGACCTAATAGCTCAAACAATAGTCCTCCAGCAACCCTCACAGGAACCTGTTCACAAATGCAATTCTCTTCTAACAGGCATCTACTTGTTGAAAACAAATGGACGTAAATGTGTTCTTCTATTTTTCCAGGAAATCTGGTCAAGGCAAAGTACTTGTTCTAAGGATTATAGTCAGCAGACAAGTGGAAGGTGCATATTTTGGTATTCACCATGATCAACATAATAACATCTTCGTTCAATGACCAAAATAAATTTCCCCTAGATCATACAAGCGCAGGACTGTACAAGGAGATCGAAAATGTAACATCCTCTATATAAACCCCCCACCTCACTCCACAATAGAAACAAATAAAGAGATGATAAATTCTGCTAGATCTACTTTGCTCCCTACACACTTTATCCTGTTTATTTACCTATTAAGTTATTTTTGTAAGTTATTCAGTATCATTCATGAGCTTTGGACTTTCCATTACTACTACTATTCTCCTGTCTTCAATAACATAAATATTCTCATCTTTTTTCCTTTCATCTCAAAAAACTCTGTGACGTGGGGAATCTTCCTAAGCTCTCCTCTAGCAAGAATCTAATATATCTAATGTGACAACTACTTTTAAGTACATAAATACAGGAGATTGTCAGGTAACATTTGAGGTTAAGGGATGCAGACACCAATTTGTAGACATAACCCTGCCTATTTCAATCGATATATGAATTATTTTAATAAATATTTTCAAAAATGGAGTTTGAAGAATTCAAAACACCAATGAACTGAAATATGATCTCTGTGATACTCACTCAAGTAAGTGTACAGCGTAGCATACATGCCCAGAAAACTTTTAATATGGTCAAAATGAATCTTAGTTATTAAATGCCCTCAATCACATCAAGCTTTCTGATTTTTACAGATCGCTTGTCAAGGTTTCCACATGAGCTGTTTTAAACCATCACCGTTTCCCCACTACTACAATACATTGTCGAACAAGAATAACCAACATACCAATGTTCACTATCCGACTTAATTCTCAGAGGACAACCCATTTTTCCATGCTGCCATTCAGTCCATAGCACTTTCTAGTTTACAGTATAACTTAGTAAAAGCTTGTATCTTGTTACTATCTTTCAAAACCCTAATACTCTGCCACCCCTTCCTAACTTCCATCGCTCTCCTCTTCAAAAATGAGAAAAGGGGAATATTTTCAAACAAACAATACTGCATGTGAAAAGAAAGTTCTGAATCCTCTTCCCATGGTGACGACATCACAGTTCTATATAAGTAAAATACATAATAAAAAATCTCCAGGTTAAAGTTGAATAGTAGCCGCAAACACATTATAATGAGTACCTCATATAAGAGGTGCTTCATACGCTCACTGATCAGCTTACTTTCATCTCTTAAGGCTATGCTTATTGCAGGGTGTAACCACTGAGCATTGCTCAGCCATGTATTGATAAATGGATGACTTGCATCCACATGACACCACCAAGTTGGTCCTGTGGGGCGTTCCCAATATGGAGCTGCAATATCTGCAACAGTCATGTCATCTTCCTCATCTGTGAATTCAAAATGTTGCAAGTCCCAAACAGCATTGACCTGAACCTTCTGAAGTAGGTCAGAAATTCTGGCCCAGCCTATAGGCATCCAGCAATTGCCAGGAGATCTTTCCGGAGGATGAAAGCAGCCTAAATGGTAGTTCTGATTATAAAAATGGCCATTCAAATTGTCACTGTCCGTGGCTCCTGACTCTATGAGAGACGGTTCTTCGAAATTGCTTTCGCTGAAGTATTGGGGTAAACTATCAGTTGTTTTGCATTTAGATATGGTCTTCTTTCTTGTCGTAACAATCTTTGGTTGTGAAGACTGTATATCTAACTTAGACCTTGAACTATAGGTATTCATATGGCCTCGGATAAATTCAAAAGCACAAATTAGCCCATCTGTCCATAACTCGCCACCCAGCATGACATCTCTGGAAAATTGATGTTCTTTATTCTCTTCTTTCTTCATATCATTGCTCCTTTATCAGGGATAATTCTCGGTTGCAAAGCTCGTTGCTCTTCCTTTTAACAGTAAGGAGCAAGAAAGTTTACCTGAAATCCCCAAGGCATTAACTTCAATGAAGCTGGAAACAAGGAATTAAAAAGGGTAAGTTACACACCTCCAAATCTATTAAGATCTATAACAACCAAATATACTTCTTCATCTTCATCTTTTTCTTTTCTTTTTTTCCAGGGGAGGGGGTTGGTGAAGTAAATTCTTAGATACATTCTACAGTGCTAAATGTATAATTAGGAACACATAATCTAACTGTCCCAATTTTTTCTGATTGAAGTAAAAGTGAAGGGCCATGAAGTTTCCAAAAAAATGTGAAGAAACTCAGTTGCAGAAGGTACTACAAACTTTTTTTTTCCGTTTTTTCCTACATCCAGAATGGAGAGATAAGTGATTCTCAGGCTTAATGCCCAAGTTGCACAAAAAGCATCTGGCTCCCAATTAAACTCAGAATGTAATAAGAGGAAGAAAAACATAGTTGTGCAAATTTAGTCCTTCTTTCCCTTACACTTCACCATCTACAGCACAAAATTGCAAACTTCAGCCTCGAATAGACTTGCTAAGCATTGGATCAAAAGAAAACAGAATGTTTTGTCTTCAAATATTTATATTACGTATCAGGTCTTAGGCACCCGCCTCCTACATTAAGTATTTACTTTTAGGACGTGTTGATCATATTGAAATCACAGACAAATGTTCAATTTAAGGCTCTTCTTTAAGCGCAATCTGGTCTCTCAACTTATATACAGCTCCATATTACGGATATTGATCGAGTAAGTCATTTTCACTAATATACTCTTTTCCTCTGTGAATAGAACATAGAATTTACCTATCTTGCAGCCTTCTGTCGATTTGGGATAGAAAATCATATTGCTTTCCACCATAGAAATATTTTACGCTAGAAAGCTGTTTTGCATTTGAGAATCTCATTGATAATTATCTGTATATAAATACGACTGTCATTGGCCACCCACAAACCAAATACAATGGGTATTGCCATATACAAGAATATACAATTTTCTTTATAACGTTGAGGAAATCACCCAGTTGAAGAACCCGCTCTTGTGGGATGGAGCATCCCTCCCTAATATCCAAATCCACCATACCGGCAACATCGCAGGCGCCTAGTGGACCCAACAAAATCGGCCTCACGCCACAAAACGAGCCACAATCGCAGGCGACGGCCCTGGGTGTAAACCCTCGCCCGATCTGCTGTTTTGGCCGACGACCCAGCCTCCTCTGAAGCAGGCAACGGCGACTTGGGTGGTTGGCGAGTGGTCACAGGCAGAAATCGGCCGGGGATTCGAGCCCAGATGGCTCAAGATCCTGCCAGAATTCCGACCGACGCGCCTGACAAGAGACTTGGTCAGGGCATTCCGACCACGGGGGACGCGCCGATCTGGGCACGCGCTTGGCGCCACGCGCCGCCGCTGGTGAGAGCTCAGATCGTGCAGAATTCGTTGGAGATAAATAACCATCCTGTTTCTTCGTATGATGCTTCGGTTGCACGAAATTTAGGGAGACAGAGAGTTCCTAATGGCATGTTGGTCTTCTGCTCCAGTTTCAAAATTGAGGCAAAACAATTTGTTGTGTCTGTCACTGATTCAGGCATGGCTAAGATATCAGAATGGGGAGCTAAGATCTCCAGTGCTATTCTCATGGGAAGATTTGGAGCTATGTGGATGGTTAATATGATGGGTAAGTTAAGGACGGCGAGTGTGTCGGAGGATTTTGTAGCGAAATTTAATGAGACCCCTCGAGCGTTTTTGGCACAACGATGTACTAACAATCGTGGAAGATATCTCATAATAGCGCAGTATGGGGAGCGACGGCGACAGGGTGTAGTGATGGTACCTGAAGGGCGTAATGGAAAGGGATGGGCAGCGATCTCTCGCGTGTTTCAAGCAGTTATAGAATCATTTGTTGTCGAAGATAAGGCTAAGCATCGAGTAGTGGAAGATCAAAGCCTGCAAGGGATGACCTATGCTGCAGTTACGGCACGGGCCTCTCAGAATGCTGATCAATGGGTACGGACGCAGAAGGATAAATCGGTAAATGAGAAGAGCGGTCCACAAATCTGGGGACCAAACAAGGATGGCCATTTAACGGCACATAAGGACAGCAATAAGACTACTGAAGGAACGCATGATATTTCTGCAAACTATGCTGACATAAGGGCACATATAAAGGTACTGAAAGGGGAATTGGATGAACTAATGAGGTTATTGGATAGCGGGAAGATAATGGGTTATAAGCAGAAGTATTGTCATGCGTGTGGAGTGGGCCTAGATGACTATACAGCAAACGGAAATGTAGTAGCTAATGAGGTGTCTAAGGAGTTGAAATCGAAGAGGGCTAACACTACAGAGGTGATGGTTGAGCCAAGTGGCGAGGCCCAAGTACAAAGTAGAGGGGCAGAGGTGGAAGTAAGGGACAAGGAAGGGGAACTGCGTTTGATGAATTTGGAGTCGGAGAGACCGGATGTGGCAATTGAGAAACAACAAGGGGCAACAGGTTTGGCAAAGATGATCACGAATATTTACTGTAGGAGATACTCTAAGTCTATAAATGAGGAAGAATTAGGGAATGATAAAGCTCTAGTTGTGTGGGTGGAGGGCGTCAAAAAGGAGGATATAAATAGGGATGTAGGTCGGGTAGAAGAAGAGGACTTACAATATGATCAACTTTCCTCTGGGGAGATAGTGGAAATGAGTGAGCTTGACTTTAGACCACCACCATCGAGTTGAGCTCTTCAAAAAATTTTGGACTTCAGCAAAATGGTGGGGATGTCCTGTGATGGGTATGAACATAAGCTCTTGCGACTATTTGAGGAGTTGGAGGCGAGTAAGGGACAAGGGATGGATACACCAGGAGGTAAGACAAGAAGAAAGGGTGACCGTGAACTTAAAAGGCTTGAATGCTCGGTTAATTATGACAGAAGGAGTGGTGAGTCAAGAAAAGGATTGATGGGGAGGGATGAAAGTGTGTCAAGATGATCCCAAAAATTGTTTGCTGGAATGTGAGGGGGCTCAATGAAGCTGGTAAAAGGTTAGGTGTTGGAAATCTCTTAAGGGATTGGAAGGCTGACATTGTTTGCTTACAGGAGACAAAGTTGGAGACCGTTTCGAGGGCTGTTGTTAGTAGCTTATGGGGGGGACAACATATTGGGTATCAATTTGTGGGATCAGTGGGGGCTTTAGGAAGGGTGCTTATTATGTGGGATACTAGAGTCTTTCAGTTGGAGGAGATTAGTGAAGGGCTTTTTTCCCTATCCCTTTCATTTACAAATATTGGGGATCGATTTCGTTGGATGTTCATAGGAGTTTATGGGCCTAATGTTGATGAAAGTAGAGGCGGATTGTGGGATGAATTGGCAGGTATGATGGCTTGGTGGAACCTCCCAACGTGCATAGGGGGCAACTTTAATGTGGACCGCTTTCCTACTGAAAGGTCTAGCAGCGGGAGACTAACAGGGACTATGGAGGACTTTGAAGATTTTATCAGGGAGAATATGTTGGTGGATATGCCTTTGATGGGGGGAGATTTTACTTGGTCATCTAATCGAGAGCTACCTGTTCATTCTAGAATAGATCGGTTCTTGATTAGTGTGGAGTGGGAGGCTAAGTACCCGGATGTTGCTCAGAGGAGACTAGGGAGGGTATACTCAGATCATTTCCCAATTTCATTATCTGGGGATGTGGGATATAGCGGGAGAAGGCCTTTTAGGTTTGAAAAAATGTGGCTTAAAGTGGATGGTTTTGGGGAGCGAGTACGGACTTGGTGGGCCTCTTACAAGTTCAGGGGGTCCCCCAGTTATGTGTTGGACCAAAAATTAAAGGCTTTAAAAGGAGACCTCAAAAGGTGGAATGAGAAGGAGGTGGGGGATGTTAACTGGCGTAAAAATCAATGCACCTTAGAAATAGAGAAATTGGATAGGAAGGAGGAATGTCGAGGATTGGGAGGGGACGAGAGGGAGCGACATCAAGAATTAAGGGGTGACCTAGAGAGGTTGGTGGAGATGGAGGAGATTTCTTGGCGCCAGAAATCTAGGGTTAAGTGGTTGAGAGAGGGAGATAAGTGTACACAGTTTTTCCATAGGGTGGCCAATTCCAACAGGCGCAATAATTGTATCTCTATGCTGGAGGTGGATGAGGTAACTTTTGAGGACCTACAGGATATTGGTACCCAAATGGTGAGTTTCTACCAAAACCTTTATAAGGAGCAGTTTGATCGGAAGCCAGAGCTTGAGGGGCTAGAGTTTTCCACTATTTCTGAGGAGGATGTCAGTTGGTTAGAAAGACTATTTGGGGAGGACGAGATTAGGGAGGTGGTGTTCAGTATGAATGATGACAGGGCCCCAGGACCGGACGGATTCTCCTTCGCATTCTACAAGGCTTGTTGGGAGGTGATACGTTCGGACATTGTGGATGTTTTTGCTTACTTTTTCCAGTGTGTCGAAGCTCTAATACCACATTTATTGTGCTGATCCCAAAAAAATAAGAGCGACAGACATTAAGGACTTTCGACCTATCAGTCTAGTAAGTGGGGTGTATAAGATTATTGCAAAGGTTTTGACTACTAGATTAAAGGAGGTGCTGGAAAAAGTGGTGTCTAAATATCAGAATGCTTTTGTCAAAGGACGACAGATCTTGGACTCCGTTCTCATAGAAAATGAATGTATTGATTCAAGACTACGTCAAGGGGTTCCAGGGATGCTATGTAAACTTGATATTCAAAAGGCCTATGGTCACGTGAACTGGGGTTTCCTGTTGTATATGCTCAAACGATGTGGTTTCGGAGCCAAGTAGTGCCAGTGGATTCAATTTTGTATTTCTACTGTCTCTTTTTCTGTTCTGGTAAACGGCACTCCTGAAGGCCATTTCCGAAGTAGTAGGGGATTGCGATAAGGGGATCCTTTGTCTCCATTACTGTTTGTTATTGTAATGGAGGCATTCAGTAAAATGGTTGAAAAGGCTGTGGGGGAAAGTTTGTTAAAGGGCTTTAGGATTGGTCAACTGCAAATAGCTCATTTGCAGATGATACTCTGATCTTTTGTGATGCTGACGTTAAGCACTTTAGGAATTTGCGTCGTTTGCTTCTATGCTTCGAAGCCGTATCTGGAATGAAGATAAATTTGGGAAAATCTGAGGTCATCACTGTTGGAGAGGTCGATAATGTGGAAAGGTTGGCTGCTACATTGGGCTATAGGGTTGCACAATTGCGTATGACATATCTTAGGCTCCCATTAGGAGCAAGGTTCAAAAGTAAAAACATTTGGGACAGTATAGTGGAAAGGGTGGAGAGGAGATTAGCGGGTTGGAAGCGTATGTACCTTTCAAAGGGAGGTCGTCTTACTCTTATCAAGTTTACTCTCTCGAATCTCCCCACTTATTTCTTGTCTTTATTTCTCATTCCTGTTACAGTGGCTAAGAGACTAGAGAGGATCCAAAGGGAGTTTCTTTGGGGAGGGTTAGGAGAGGAGAGGAAATTTCATTTAGTAAATTGGGGTGCAGTTTGTTCTCCCTTAAGGGTTGGGGAACTCGGATTGAGAAGCCTTGTATTGTTTAATAAGGCCTTGTTGGGTAAGTGGTTATGGCGGTTTGGGGTGGAGAGGGAGAGTTTCTAGAGAGAAATTATAGAAGAGAAATATGGCATGATGGATGGTGGATGGTGTTTAGTTGAGAGTCATGGTACCTACGGGGTGAGTTTATGGCGGTTTATTCGACGAGGGTGGAGTGACTTTCGGAATAGAGTGACCTTCGATGTGGGGAATGGCAACACTATCAGCTTTTGGGATGACTGTTGGTGTACTGATCAACCGTTAAGGAAGCGATTTCCTTCTTTGTATCGTATTGCCGTGATACCATCTGCTATGGTGAATGATGTATTAACAACACATAACGGGAGCATCAGTTGGAACATTGTTTTTGGAAAGGGACTACAAGATTGGGAAGTGGATGATTACACAGTGCTATTGACCTCTTTGCATGACGTGCATATCAGGGTTGGAGAGTGTGACCGCATCAGGTGGATGCCGACAAGGGATGACATTTTCTCAGTTAGCACTTATTTTAAATCCTTCTTGGGATCTGCGGAGAATTTATTTCCTTGGAAGATGGTATGGAAGTGTAAACTGCCTCCAAGGGTGGCATTTTTACTATGGATGGTAGTGAGAAGACAAGTTTTAACGGTGGACAATCTTTGATTGAGGGGGTTTTATATTATAAATTGGTGTCATATGTGCAGAAAGGATGGGGAAACGGTTGACCATTTGTTCCTGCATTGTGATGGCGCCCGTTTGCTATGGAATGATATTTTGGCTTCTCAACATATGGATTGGGTGACGCCACGGCATATGGAAGATTTGTTGAAGGCTTGGAGGAGAAAGTTTCGTGACAAGGACAGTAAACTCGTTTGGGATCTTATTCCAGGCTGCATTGTTTCGTGCGTGTGGAGAGAAAGAAATGGGCGCTGTTTTGATGATTAGATGCAGACTTTAGAACAGTTTAGAGAATTATTTTATTTGACATTGTATAATTGGTTTAGTGCTGTAGCTTCTAGTCACATAAATGGGCTGCCTAACTTCATGACATTTATTTCTTGTTTAAGTGTATAATACACTTCCTGTGTATTATCTTTTAATTAATAAAACACTTGATTATTTATCAAAAAAAAAGTCATTTTCACTAGCATCATTTATGTTTGTAGTCATACACATATGTTGTTAGGGGGAAAAGGTATTCAAGATCATTTGCAGCATGTTACAAAACAGAGTATATTTCTTATAAGCAATTTGCCAAAAAAAATAACTTACCAGAACCTGGGGTTCATATGCGGGTCGTCATCTAATATTCTGCTTAATCAAGTTCCATTTGAATCCTTTAAACTATCCTATTTCTTAGGAGTTTAGGTAGACCTCTTCATCTTGGTGTACCATCAAAACTCGTTCTAACTATCTTCCTAGCTGCTGCATCCAGCGACCATCTTTGAATTTATCCTAACCATTTCAATCTAGTCTTGGCAAAATTTCTTCAATGAATGCTATCTTAACTACTCACATACGTGCTCATCTCTTATTCTACCTCTTATAGATTTATCCTGATCCATCATAATTTTTCATTTCATAAATACTCAAATACTTTTCATTTTTGTGGATGGTGTCAGTGTCATTAAAGATACAGTAGCTGATTTGATTATAATTCTATATAGAATTCTCAGTTCAATCTTACAAGACACCGTCAATCACACAAAACCATAGATGTGCTCTTCCACTTGACCCAATCAAACTTTCCTTAATTCTCCAAGTAACACCATCTTCAATTCTTAAAACAAAGCATAAAAGACAATGCAACTCTACAAAAAAAAAATCAGTATCATTGACAAAATCAGAGTAATCTGTCTTCAAAATATCCAAAGCTTGTCGATTTCTGTCACTGAACAGAAGAGAACAGTAACCGTGCTGAGTATGCAAAATAACATTAATTCCAACAGAAGACAGAGCCCAAAATGTTAGGAATCCACACAGTATCTAGATATCACTTTTGATCATCTTTCATACATGTTAACATGGAGGTTCCCAATATATACTAGACAACAAAAATCAGGAATCCGGGATTAACATATACTGATGAATCGATATTATGATAAATCTGAACTTAGAATTCATCAAAGAAAATAATTTGGAAAGCAATTAGCCTGCCCACCCCCATAAAAAAGACCAATACATGCCTCTGCCAGTATGTGAAGAGAGATACATAAAATGGTTAAAAACATCGAAAAATAAATTCGGATGTTCTTGATACATCTTTCTTATACTATCCAAAATCCCAGTATTTTCTCTCTCTTTAATTTGCCTTTGGGTGGGTGGGGTCAAGAGGGGAGGGGGTTGCTGATAAAGCCCGGAACTTACCAGAATCAGAAAGAAGTTGTAGTGGCCTAAAAGGGGTCCCGTAACTTGAAATCCAGAAAGTGATCAGACGGGATAATTGGGTTTTAGATATCTCACAAGCAAATTGTGTCATTGTAGATGCTGATGTGAGAGGGGATATGGACTGGTAATTTTTATCTCGTCTCTGCATGGCAAATTACCAACGGTAGAAGTTTTAAATGGTCATAAAATAAAGTCCATATTTGGTTTCGATAAAGATCAAATTTTTATTAAATTTTAATAAAATTGATAGTAAACAAAATTTATATATGCCCAAAAATATATAAAAAATTGAATTTTAAAAAATAATATCGAACAATGTTAATACCTTTATCGACTCTTTCTCGTTACAAAATTAAACAAAGAGTTTATTTGATAAAAATAAACTTGAGTTGTACTAAAAAGCTGGTAAATTTAATTAAATTTTAGTTTTTTAACCAGATGTCTCGTAAAATTTATCAACTTTTATAAGCTTTATATTTGCTAAAAATAGATCTTAACCCTGCATTGAATACGGAATAATAAAATGGGAAACGTGACAATTTTCTCATTTTTAACGAAACAAGAAAACCCTTTTTTAAGGAAATTCGCCATTTTAGAAGAAAGAGCGAAAGGCACAGGCTTGGCGTGGGTCTTGCTACAAAAGGACCCTAAAAGGTCGCTGCACTTTGAGAATTGAATTGAATACACGGAGAAGGTAGAGAGAGATGGAGAAGCCAAAGAAGAAGCAAGTCCTGCTTTTCCACTGCGTCGAAGCTGAAGAATTGGCACTCAAAGTCGCTGCTCAGTCGGACCTCATTCAGTTACAATCAATTAACTGGAGGTGACCCCTTCAAATTATATGTATAAATGTCTGTTTTAGTGTCCATGGGTTTGCAATCTTTTCTCTTTTCATCCCACAAAATGGGCCTTTTTAGCTTCGTGTATTGTTTTTTTAGTCATTCTTGAAATTTGCATGCTCTGCTTCACTTCTATGGAAACATACTTTGGATTTTCTGAATTTTACTTGTGGTTCCTTATATATACCGGTTGTACATTTCTCCCAAGATGTTTGTAGATTTCGAAGTCAAACTCAAATCCTATTTCCCCCCTTTTTTAGGAGAATATAGTTGCTTTTTTTCTGGTTTATGAAAGAGGTGAAGCTTGTTTATGCATACTACTATTTGCTGGAGTACTTGTGCTGTATATTCAAGCAGATGTGTAGATTTAAGAGATATAATAGTAATTATGATTTTCTTTTCAGTTAAATTTTCGTAGTTTGCTGTTGGGAAAATATCATGGCGGTTACTAATTTCTCGAAGTATATTGAAACAATATTTGTTGTGAAGGGTAATTGACTAAAATCTGGTTGCTTTTACATTGATTAAGTTGTGAATATTGGGTTAAATAACAATTGATTCTCTTATCTTTCCTCTCATTCCTTTAACTCACATTTTAGTGGCAATTCTCTGTCATCTATGCTTATCTTATCTCAATCATTTCGTTAAGAGCTTTGTAGACTGCCTGCAATGATTATTGATGTTGATAATTTGTCTGATGATGAAGATTGGTTTATATAACAGGAGTTTTGATGATGGGTTTCCAAATCTTTTCATTAACAATGCACAAGATATCCGAGGACACCATGTTGCCTTTCTAGCATCGTTCAGCTCACCTGCAGTCATCTTTGAACAGCTTTCAGTAATTTATGCACTTCCAAGGCTGTTCACTGCCTCATTTACGTTGGTGTTACCTTTCTTTCCAACTGGCTCATTTGAGAGAATGGAAGAGGAAGGGGATGTTGCAACCGCATTTACCTTGGCTAGAATGCTATCAAGTGTTCCTATATCAAGGGGTGGTCCAACCAGTTTAGTTGTCTATGATATACATGCTTTGCAAGTTAGTTTCTCTTACATTCTTAGTATTTCTTCATTTTTGTTGCTCGGTTGAGAAGTTACTTGTTGGATCTATACAGTTTATTAACTAATTTTTATTGAATTTCAATTCTCTTTTCTTTTCTGTTGTGGTGTTGTTGTGAAAAACACCTATGGCTGTATTAGGTTCACAAGATTTTATGTTTTAATTGTTAGATTAACACTAATGCTATTTTTATTAAAGAAGGACTAAAGAAAGTGTGAGGTCATGAAATTATGGTGTAGAGATAGTACTTAAGTTTGAAGTTTCGGCTGAAGTGTACTTGCATGGTTACTGATTTAGTCCCAAATTGTTAGTTAAATAATGTGAAAATTAGTTTGTTAATATATGTCCTACAACACCTTCAAAAATAACGAAGAACACTGTTAACCTTGGACTTGGGAAAGGTGCACTTTCTTATCCCCCAATGAACACTCTAGTGGAACACTCTTAATACTCTCCTTCGGATTAACACATGATTACTGTTAAGCGTCCAGCTAATTAGAAGCTCATTGGTTCTTCTGTTTTCTAATTTATATCAAAATCAAACTCCAATTCTGTCCTTTGATATCAGCACTATGATTGCATTTTGTAATAGCCCATGATATTTGTTGAAATTTGTTTATGCTTCCTCTGAAGAGTTCTTTGTTAACTTGTCCTGCTTTTACTTCTGTCATTCTCTACAGGAAAGATTTTATTTTGGAGACACTCTTTTGCCATTGTTCGAGACTGGTATCCCACTCTTGAAGCAACGCCTTCACCAGCTTCCGGAATCTGATAAGGTGAGTATTTTTGCTCTATGACGATGTTAACGAATTTTTCTCGGAGTTGCTTATGATTTTATAGTCATATACTGATGTGTCTTAGTTTCCTAAATTTATTCTCTCAGATAGTTGTTGCATTTCCAGATGATGGAGCTTGGAAACGATTCCACAAGCTATTGGATCATTTTCCCATGGTTAGTTTTTTATAATTTTATATTTGCTATTATCTTATGCTTTATATATTTTGTCATATATCTGATACCATCCATTGAAAGGTGGTCTGCACAAAAGTTCGTGAAGGGGACAAAAGAATAGTTCGGTTAAAAGAGGGTGATTGTGCTGGTTGTCATGTTGTCATTGTCGATGACTTGGTGCAATCTGGTGGAACCCTAATTGAATGCCAGGTGTTCCTTCTTGTCTTTCTCCCCCTTATAAATGAATTTGAACATATCAACTTCTATTCTTCAGATAGAATGTCTGAAGGAGTCAATCTCTGCAAATTTAGATTAGCTAATTTTCATTTGAAGTAAAACATAGTCTTGCTCGTCTTGTACATAGTATGAATAGTTGCATAGTGGATTTTAATGACTTCATTCTCAATTTAGCTGTATCCATGTGTTTTGTTTCATTTTGTAATTTCTTCATGTGAACTTCTAGGCTCTCGAGTCCAGTGGAAAAAGAATGCTAAAGCTATAATATAAGTAAAGAGGGTTCAACTGATTTGTTTGATACGTTCTACCGTGTCTGACAGAAACTGTATTTGCACCCTTCCGCTCCATCCCACCTTAACCCGACCATAGGAACAATGATATGACGATAAAAACTTAAAAAAACAAAAAACAAAAAACAAAAAAACGAAAAAAAGTTGCTTGTCCCGTAAAACTCTGAAAATTCATGAGGACATACGGCGCATACAATCGTGTGGATATGATATATGGTAACGACCAATTAATTACATGCCAAACTGGAAACCTGGTCGAGGAATTGTTCACACGTCTGTTATAAATACGTAGTGTATTTATAGTTCCACCTTGAAGGCAATAGCGTGATGAGAATTTGGATTTGTGTGAAGCAGCCCATACCTTCACGATCAATTTCAAAATGTCATCTAATCCTTGGTTTGTGCATGATTAAAATGTTTCTGTTTCTCGTGTCATATTTAACCCTTTTGGTTGTTTCAGAAAGTGTTGGCAGCTCATGGTGCAGCAAAAGTGAGTGCCTATGTCACCCACGCTGTCTTTCCAAAGAGGTCATGGGAGCGATTTCTTCACAAGAATGATGGTAAATGCTTGCTTTTAACTGCTTATGGCTCTTCTTTTTTTCCCCAATTTTTTAGTGATTTTTTATCAATATATTACATTGAGAAGGTGCAGAGAAGGCGTTCACCTACTTTTGGACAACGGATTCGTGCCCACATACTGTGAAAGCCATAGGCAACAAAGCTCCTTTTGAAGTTTTGAGTCTTGCTGGATCCATAGCCGATGCCCTCCAGATCTGATTATTGTAAGAGGATTCGGTCATAATGGGAAAGGTGTGAACTTTTAGCAAGAGGTTACCATTTTGTGGGGTTTCACGATTTTCAGTTTCCTTATTAACTAAATAAAAGATTGTCGTACTTGTGACTCTTGTGTATCGTATTGAAGAACCGTTAAGGTTCCAAAAACTGGGAAGCTGGACGCTCACCCAGTGCATTACATGAACAGCTTCTCTTATTGTGCAATTTAATGGAGGAAAAATGGCTGAATGTAGTCCATTAGTGATTCGTTCAACGTGCTATTGTTTCAGGAAATGTCGTGTGGAAGTTCACTATGAATCTTCTTGTACCAGTGTATTTTCAGAAAATTTCCCACCATTTTCGTCTCAAACATACTTTTAACGTGAATCTCCAACAAGATGCACAATATGTAGGAAGCTCCACTCATAGCTAGCACAGATAGTATAACAACGAGCAATTTGCTCGTTATTGTGTGCGTGTGTGTGAGTGAGCGAGAGAGAGAGAGGGGGTTTAAAAAATGTCTTCCAAATAACAAATACACAGTTTCCTGTGTACAAGACCACAGGACGGACAACCTGCAGGCCATTCTACACACAATTCTGACCCTCCTCCAGCTCTAGAAACTACTGTACATTTAGTATGACTGCTAAACAGTCACAAGAACTGGACACTGTCAAATATTTTTTCCGCGATAATACAGAGTATCCATGGTTGAAAAGCGGACACTCTCTAGTAAATAAATAATTCATATGTACGTTCAAATCCACCGGTAATACACAAAAGCTGTACAAAAGTTACACTTGCTGCCCACCGATTCTTATTTGGAGTAATCCAATTCAAGGAGTGGACGTCTTTTCTCCGGTTAATCATCTGGATTACTCTTTGGGCTGTCCAGAAAATCCCCAACATAAGATCCATCCGGCTGACGTATAAAGATGTTCAGATTACTGGTGTGCCTAGGTTCCTGAGACCCAAAAATCCCTACATCAGAACGTGCCGACAGAAATTCATAAAATAATGGAAAGATAAATAATTAGTGTTCAATCAGAAGTTCACTACTTCTCTATTATAGCCAGTACTAATATCTTCTCACTTTACATTAACTATGACAGAACATGAGAGATCTCAGGGTCATCGAGTCAAGATGCGAGAAAAAAGGTAGTGACTTGTCACATACCAGATCATCAATCCCTTGGCCCTCTGACTGGAAGAGAATTGGTCGGCACCGTTTGTCTTCATTCATTAAACTCGAATTCTGAAAGTGAGAAACAAGAGCAGCCTGTCCCTGGATTCTTGCGTATGTCAAAGAAGCAATCTTTTCACTATTGAACTTTTCCCATCTCTTCCCATTAAATGCCTGCAGAGATTTACATGTGACAAGTCCATTTGTTATTGAACAGATTTTCAGAGTTCTCAAGAAACAAAATTCATCATTACGTGGCTTCCAAGGGTGATTAGAGCATAACAATTGTAAAATGTTCCCGAGTTTTAGCCCTTGTTTGGCCCTCATTAAATTAAAATTTATTTTTAACTCTCTTTTTATCAATCATACATTCTCAAATAAAATAATATATCACGTAAACCTAAAAACTTCTCCTTCCTTTTTAACCACACATTCTTCAAAAAATTACTATTCCCTTCATTATAATTTGAAATAATGGAGCACAAACAAGGGCTTAATATTAGTTGCTCACATATTTTAGTATCCTACGTGATATTTAGTACAGACGACCCCAAGGAAGGGATAAAGGAAAGAAACTCAAACCTCATGGAAGGTGATGATGTGTGAAGGGGATACCATGTTGATGAAAGCATACCCCACATTGCATTTATTCTGGGCAGTAGGAGGTAATATAAATGAGCAAGGGTATTGAGTTTAGCACAAAAGTATATAATTTTAGTCCACGGTAACACACCTTAAAATCAATTGGCAGATAAAGAAAATCATATGTGCCCTTGTGAGTTTCATCAATAGCGGCAAGTAGCATCTTTGAGGTGTACCTTCAAACAAGGAGAATTAAAATGCAGATTATTCTGCGATTTCAAAACAAAATGGATATTTAAATTGTTATCAGTTCATACTTGTTGGGGATATTTTTAATCATCAAAGTAGTCCTACTATCTTCCCCACTGACGATCTTTTCCAAATCAAGTTGATACTGCCTTCTGTCTTCCACCTGGATTCCACTGTCAGCCCTTCTATTTCGATAGCGATCCATCAATCCATCGTTGCTAGTTGCTCCCATGCCCCCATAAGAACCAGTTCCAAAAAATATGGGAGAATTTCTGGACATTGGCATCATCCTAGAACCTGGGGAGCCGCCTTCAGAAAAATTTCCTGTATAAGCAATGCCCATGTTAAGTGCCCCCTGGGCAGCCATATTCATCACATGATTCCCATTGTTGCGACCTAAATTTGTGGCTCCAAATGCAGCTCGATTGATGTGCGATGATTCTGGTGACTCTGGAAAAAAACCAAAATTCCTTTCTGGTTGAATACCAGATGGAGCAGATCCGACGTGATGTGAACCCAGAAATGAGCCATGTCCGCTTTGAAAAGGATAACCAGTTCTTTGTCCACTGGGTGAAAACATAGGTCCCTTCAACGGTGATGACCAAGCAGAGTTTGTGCGCTCTGATGGCACATTTGGCATGTTGGATTGGACACCACTGTGCAGGATTAAAGAATTGAAATTTAAAATCTCATTTTTTAACCTCTAAAGTGCAGTCCAGCACTGGTAACAAACGTACCTGGAGTGAAGAGTAGGGCTTCCCCATAGAAACTGAGGACCAGAAAGCGTCCCAATGCTAGATGACTTGGAATCACCATATGATGACACGGGTCCAGGACTTGAACTGAACTTAGAATCAGGTATGGGATAATGCTGCTGATAATCCACTCCTTGTGCTGCATTAGCCTTAGTAATTACCTGGTTCACATGGCTTATCCGTACAGGGTCTTTACCAATTGGTGCAATCTTCACGGGATTTGAAGCCTGGGATTGAAGGATAGAGGCCAACCCAGGCAAGCGGTTACTTCCAACAGGGTTGAGGTTCCCTAAAACAGGTGACCGACTATAATCAGCAAATGAGTTGTGATCAACTGGACTCCCAAAATTTGCCCAACTACCTGCAAGTACAAAATTGGTGCCATGATTATAGGTACACAATTAGCAAGTGAAAGCTTTTGTAATGTAGATCTTCCATCCACATACCTGGAGGAGAGTTGGCTACAGGAGAACCAACTTGATGGTGGAAAGGCAGAGCTTCATCCTGTTCTTGCTCTTGATTCAGTTGCAGCATTAAGCTATACAAGAAAAGCACAAAAAAAAAAAAAAAATACTCATTGATTGCTCTTTCAATTAGCACGACTTGCAATTAACTAACCATCTAAATGAAATGAAGTGTGACAAAAATATGAAACCAAATTGACCAGGGAAAAAAAAAAAAGATAAACCAACAGTAGCAACGGATGTATCAACTTGATTTAAAAATAGCAGAATCTTAGGGAATAAAGTCCAAGGACATGGGAGCTAATTTTTCCACCAAGATACTTAAAAATGATGGCATGACTGGAGCAAATTTTTTTTTTTAATCCAAGCTACCAACATCCAAAAAGTCCAACCACTTATCAGGACTGCATTACTATAACGAGTATGTTCAATACCCAGTAATTTTGGAAGCCTGAGCATGCTAAAATCCTCTGAAAAAATCTACCATTCACCTAAGCAGCACTGCTATACAAATTAATCAACATTTCTCTTAATGTTGCCTATTATGTTCACAGTTTCTTGCGCACCTTCCCTCTTCACAGAAAGACAGAGAGAGACAACCAAAAACGAAAAACACGAAAACAAATATTGTGAAGTAGATGCCTCGTAAAGCACTCTTTTCCAGTCAGATACTGGGCTTCAGCAGAGGTAGATGCATCACCAATTTTTTAATTAAATTACAAACGACAGGACCAATTTACGATACGTCCTCTTATCACAGGTATATTATATTTAAGAGGAGAGCAACACATGCAAGTTGACAGCGTGGATTTATTATGCTTGTAAATTACCAAACCAGTAAAAACAAGGACAATGACAGGAGGTAATGTGTAGATAACTGTCCACAAAAAACAGAAAAATGACATATAAAAAGAGATACATTCCTATCAGCATTTAAAATATAAAATATGAAATGTACCTCCGACGGGCTCCACCGGGGCGGCTAGGTTCAAGTTTTATACGCTTCCCAGCAATGTCACTTTTATTTAAAGCCCTGAGAGCTGCATCTGCAGCTCTAACATCATAAAACTCGATGAACTTGTGATGTCGTTTGTGGGGTGTTTCCCTGATCTATATTTTATTAAAAAAAAGAAAATGAAAACTAATGAATCTCAGCCAGCTGAAGATTAGGAATTCCTAGGGAAGCTACTATAAATAAATGCAACAGAAACAACGAGGACAGCCAGATAAGTGTAAGAAATTCTCACCTCCTTAACTTCTCCATAAGCCCCAAAGATTAGGCGGAGGTCATCATTGGACACCGATGCATCCAAATTAAAGACCACAAGAGTTCCCTGGTTAACATCTTTATCCGATGGATTATCCTGTTTGTAGCAAGAAATAATATCAAATAGGTGCTCATCTATTCAGCAGCGTCATATTATTAAAGACGGGATATCTAGGTTCAGACCTTGGGAATTGAAAAATGAATATCAAGTTTTCTTCGCCTTAAGGGCTTGTTTTGCAATGCGCGCATTGCAGTGCGAGCAGCTCTGATATCATAGTAAGATATCATCACAAACCCTCTGTGCTTACATGCGGTATAGAGAGTTCTGATATCTCCATATTGCTATTAGGAAGAAATTGAAAATATAGTTATGTATAAATTGGTATTTGCAATCGAATATAAAAAACATACTTCTGCATCCCTAAAAAAGGAAAACATAGTACTAATAACTCATGAAAAAGAGGGGAAAACAAATAAAAAATCTGAAGCAGAATAAAAAAATAAATATACTACCAAATATCATAATATTGGAGCTAAATCGGCATGTTAACCATCCCAATCCAATAATTCTAGGTCGACATAGCTTGGATGAAAATTAGCTGACATCAAGTACATGAGGACATTTCTAAGTTTGTTTTTAAGTTGGCAGCAACACGTCATCCTTTATATCAATAAGTTATTTAGTAACTTGAATCCCAAATTTAACAATTATTTTGTTGTCGGTGCGACTTATTCACTACATAAACAAAGAAAGAGTAATAAAAAACCATCAACTGAACTCGAGAGGAACGATGCATCTGCAGAATCTTACACACTTAGCCCTTATTTGAGCCCCATTCTTTTGAAAAAATACATTTTTTTAACAGCATTTTGACATCATTTTAACAACACATTCTTCAATAAAATAATATTACACATAAATCCAAAACTTTTCCTTGTTTTTTAACCACACATTTCCCATAAATACACTATTCAAAAATTCATTCTTTCCCCAAAAATAGGGCTCAAACAAGGGCTTAGGCAGTACAAATATGAGAATACCTATGCCGCGTAAAGTTTATATAGAGAAGTAAAACCAACATCCACACTGTCAGTACATAATTTGATTGGTGGTTCTAACAATAATAGCGCGTTCTTCAAGTCAGCATCTGATTAATGTGAAACTGCAGAAGTTCATAAACACAACACATTGACGTGGCACAGCAGTGCAATAACTTCTCATATTTTCAAGAGAAGTCGTTTTATGGTGACTATTGTTACCTACAGAAAGTTTGTCCTTCAGATACTACCTGGAGTCCATTTCATTAAAAATTGTGGATTAAATGACTTTCATGTGAAATATATACCATGAAACCATCTCATAAAAGTTCCAAATTAATGAATATTTCACCTAACATTAATCAACTGAGAAAAATTTAGCCTTTTATTTTGACCTTTTAATGTATTTTATGTATTCACTGTCTTTGACAATTCACCATTTTATCCACCAATAGATGACTTTTGAAGTACTTGATATCATGTCGAACAACTGACCAGAAAATTAACTCAATTGAACATAATTGCAGATGATAATTATCACATTTATTTTGGACAATTGCTCTCGCTAAAGGTAGACTAACAAGTGCTTTCAAGCTCGCATACAATATATCACGTTTAGTTCCCAGAACATCAAAGATAAACAGACACATACACACACGAAGAAGAAGAAGAAAAAGAAGACTGAAATACCATCTCCATTCAACTGATATATAAAGCTCTTTTATTTAGTTCAAAACTGAAGCTTTAGTTTTTGAACTGAAATAACAGGTAGTAGCTTAGCATCCAAATTGATACACACTAGATCATCTAAGAACTAGAGAAACAATTAAACAACAATCATCTCAATGCAACATATCACCCAACCTCCCACCCTTCCCCCCAAAAAATTCTCAAACATAATAAATATAAAAAAATAATAATAATAAAAAGGGAAGAAAAATAAGCAGTAGATATTTAGCCCCTGTTTGAAAACCTTTAATTTAATTTAATTTAATTTTTGCTACAAGATCATTTTCAACCATACATTCACACAATAAAATATTTTACATGTAAACTCGTAACTTTTTCATCATTTCAACCACACTTTCGCTAAAAAATAATATTCAAAACTATGTTTTTAAATTTTTAAGGCCACCAAACAGGGGCTTAGCTTCAAGTATCATAAACTATCAAGCAAAACAAACAAAGTTATATTATAATCATGTAATTGGCAAACAAAAAAAAAATGGGCAGAAAGAAAAGGTGAGAATACTAACTATGGTTTGTGAGTTGCCAAAGGATGATAGATGCTGACAGACGCAAAGAAATACCAATTAGGAATCGGGTTAATGATTTATACCTCAAAGAGGGACCTCAGTTCAGAGTCCTCTACGTTACTATTAATATTCCGAACAAATAATGTCCTTGAGGGATGCTCTCCATATGGGTGTTCTCCGCTAACAGCCCCGAAACTACTTGTAAACCCAAAATGAACAATGTTACCATCTGGAGGACTTAACCTCAAGACACTATTCCCGAGATTCTCATGAAGCTCCGGCTCTATTTCTATTCCCCCTCCACTTCCAAAGAAATCATCATCCAAGTCCTCAAGCTGAGTAGGCAAACCAGTAAGATCAAAATCATCCATAAGTCCAGCTAAGAGCTCATCTTCATTACCAGGAAGAAAGCTTCCTATTAAATTCGGTTCAATATCTTCAAGTGGGTCCTTACTTTCATCTTCTAAATACGTTTTCTTTATTTTGGGGAAGCCCTCATCAACTGGTTGACCACTCTGATCAGACTCATTAAAATTTACTGCAAGTAAAAGGAAATAATTCAAGAAATAATTTTGAAATAACCAGAAAACACATTTATTTGGAAAAAACTCCTGGCTCATAATTACGCTTCTCATGTGGTAGGACAGGCAATGAGCTAGAAAACAAGCTAGCGTCACTTGATGTATGATGTGCGTCAGTTCCAAGACGGTTTCCCCATGCAACTTTCTCTTTCCCCAGGTTGTTAGCAAATGGAATATTAGATGGACCTACAAAAAAGGGTAAAATAATCAAGTCGTATGGGAATATATTTCTCAAAATGCATATGACAATGTGCCTTGATGTATTAATTATCTAATTATTTGATAACTCATAGTTGTGATGTAAAGGGGAACCTTCAGAATTTCCAGAAATGGAATTACCCAAAGGTTGCTCCATTGAATCAATTCCTGCAAGTGCAACACGTGTAAGAAAGTCCGTCAATAGATTATATGTATTGGCCAAAAGGAATGCTTAAGCAACATCTACAAAAAGCAAACTAAGCCCCTGTTTGACAACCATCATTTTCAAACTCTTTTTTCTATATACTCATTTTCAATCGCACATTCACACAACAAAAAATTCTACGCATAAACCAAAAACTTTTCCCTACATTTTAACCATGGATTTTCCTAAAAATCACTAATCAAAACTCTATTTCTCCAAATAACGGTTGTGAAACTGGGACTAATTGAACTACAATGAAAACCAACTTAAAGAAAACTGTTTTATAAACAGCAAATATAAAACATCTGATCATCCTTGCCCAAGTAAACTGTGATCAAAGAAAAGGATGAGAAAATTTAAAATTCCATCTAGAGTTCAGAAGCACCATGAATTAACCACCAAAAACAGCAAATGAAACACAATAATAAGACATCATCAAGTTCAAAATTTAAAAGAAAAAATTAATCATTCCAAAGACAAGTTCAAGGGATTTTAAAAATAAAAATCAAACATCAACGCACACAAACAGGCATTTGCATACACAATAAACTCAATTACCGACTTCCACAATAAGTCGAGACACCAACTTCCCAAGCGCATACGAAATTACGAAATGACCCAAAAAAGTTTTAAGTAATCACTTATTTAGTTAACAACTTGAGAAATATATTGAACCCACCCACACACCAAGGCATGTCAAATAAAGAAATGATCACAACTAGAATATAACATAAAACAGGAAATAAAAGTTAATACATAAACTTAACCAAAATTTAAAACACTAATAACTATCCCAAAATGCTCGGGTGCTGATCAATTAAAATTCAGTTCTTGTGACTCTCAAATAGAATATGGATTAATTGAAAATAAAATAGTAAACAACTCAAATAATATACTTTGATCCTTGGTCAACCAAAACCCAAGGTTAGATTACATCAACTATAAATTGACAAACAACCTAAATCACACAAACAACAGAAAAATCATAAATCCCACTCGAATTTAGCTTCTACTCCACCACAAGCAAAATAATAAACTAAAATAGAAGAAAATGTTAGAGCATTAATAATAACACAAGAATTATAACTTAGAATGAAATCAACCCAATTTAGAGTTTTGCACCCAAACCCTTCCAAAAAAAGAAATAATAAAGACGAAGATTCTGCAAAAATCCACCTCAATTTTACAGTGAACAGAAAATGGTCAAATTCTGAAAACCGGAGAGAGGAAGAGACAGATACCTCATGAGAAAGATGAAGAAGATTAATAACTGCCAAAAAAGATTAAGGAGAAAGACGGAGCGAGCGAGCCAGCGAGAGAGAGAGAGAGAGAGGAAAAATCTGTCTAGGTGGGGAGAGAAATTGCTGTAGTGATAAATAAATTAACACGTTAACAAATAAATGAAAATGAACACTTAAACAACAGTTTCGTAGAAGCAGGGGAATTGATTTCTTCTACTCTTTCACTTCCTTCTCTACCGCCGGAAAAGTTTTAGAGAGAGAATCAGAAATGAAACCCACGAAGCAAATGGTCCGAGAAAGCACTACTGTTGAGAATGGTTGAATGAAGGGTATCTGAGTTTACATACGTATCTGTATATATAATTGCTCTAATGCTCCCAATTACATTCATAGATTATTCCGAAAACAATTCTTTAATTGCGGACAGGAAATTTTAAATTGATCGTACATTATTTATTTTCTTTATTATATTTGTGGTCCCTGTGACTATGTCATTGAAGAATTCACACTAAAAACTACGTTTTCTATTTTTGAATTATTTGATTGTACATTAAGATTAGATAGAATTGAATTGTTTAAGAAAATGTATTCAATTGTTGTTAGTGTATTATTTGTATCAATCGACGTATGTTAACTTATGTCGATTCCAAATGCTTTTTCTATGCAATTTTGTTGGTATTCTAACTTTTAGATATTAAATTTGTTAAAATTGAAAATTTATGGACAACAATATTCAAAATATATCATATGAAATTTATATCACTCGATCAAACAGGTGAAATAGACAAATGATTTAAAGTTATTCAAGGTGAAACTTGATCGACTGAAAACTTGAACGGATTGACTGGATTTCCCATATGTTATATAATTGTCATATAAACATATCTTTTAGTGGAAGATCGATTTAACATTAATATATAGGATGATGTGTTGTTAATGTTTGCGTATCCCGAGGGGATATGATTGAAATATTTCCAAACAGACCCTTACACTTTTTTTCTATATTTTTCTCTTTTGTTGTGTGATTTTCATTTATATTTGTTTTTTTTTTTCTCCTTTTCTTTTTCATTGTTGCCCTTTTGTGTGGTGTGTTGTGTTGGTTGGGGAGAAATTTGGCATCATTTGAATTCAGTTTGGAGTCCGTTGACTTGACGCTACCTTTGGTGGGCAAATAAAATATATTCAGGCACGAAATTGGGCTTGACATTTGGGGAAATTACAAGAGGTGCCACTAGTTGATGAACGGCTTTGATTGGTGGGAGGGAAATATATATTTTTTTAATATATTCCACTTTAAATATTTAGGAAGAATATACCAATTGTTTTAATTATTTTATTAAAGGATAGATATAAGGAATGGTTCGAGAAAAGAAAGAAAGAAAAGGTTCGGATTAAAAGGATAAAATATATCGCTCTTCACTTTCTTAATTTTGCCCGCAAGATTTTTGCTTATTTTTATTGGTGGGCAATGGTATCTTTTCGATGAAGTTTGATCCAAATATAAGATTTCAAAAGTTTCGACGTTTCTATACAAAATGGTGGGGCCACCTCAAATCCAATTCCATTACTCGTGATTGTAATGAAATTTGCTTTGTATCTTCTAACGGCTCCTATAAGTCTGATGATTCAGTTCCTAGTTTAAAACGTGGTTAAAGATTATATATTTTTAATACTATTTCTGTCTGTCCAGGTCCACATTGGCCCTCGACAAATAGTAGGTCGAATTTCGAAATGGAGAATATGTAAATTTATGAATGTCCTGAATTGATATTTTAATAAATTTTAAAAGATTATTAAATTTATTGAATTTCGTGAATCATAATAGATGTTCCATAAAACTCATAAGAATCTCATTAAAAATTGTGAAATTTCAAAAGATTTTGTCATGTACATTTTTTAGTTTGAAATCTATCCAAATATTTTGAAATTCCTTTATTAATGAATTCTTATAAATCTATGAATCATTTGAGATATCTAGATTCTAATAATTTCTTCGCAATTCATTAAAATCTCAACTGTAAACACCTAAATTTCAAGAGTAATGTTATTCATAGTCATCTACTGCAGTAGTTATCTTACGCGACATCATACATGGCATTTTGGGTCTTCTTCTTTTTTTCATTTTTTTTCTTTCAGTTAGAGTTGATCATTTCCGTCATGCTATGTTAAATTCTTCCATGAAATATGGTAATTGACGCAAAATACCACTATTGTTTACCTTTTATTGCCCAAAAAATCCATATCGTTTCGATTTTGACATTGGACACTCAAGTCGACATTTTTTTTGTACAAAAACCTTCTATTTTCCCTATTAAAGCCTTGTAAAATAACTAATTTATCTTCTTTAAAAAAGACAATTAGAAAAGAAAGAAA